ACAAGAGTCGACATTTGGTTACCGATACCAAGACTGAGACGATACTGAGCAAAAGAGGGTGTGTGCAGGGTTCCAAGTTGGTTAACGACTTTTAAAACCTTGAGTTACAGTGTAATTCATTAATTCTGATGACCGACTTGAAACTGGCAGCACTGGTGATGAGAATGCTGGAACTTAAGGCCCCTTCACATGAGCCCGATTGCAGACAGGGCTAGCCCGGTTACCGGGACGAATTTCGCCTTGAGTTCATATGACAAATTTCAGCCCGGTTTCCGAGATGAGAAAAGGCCAATTAAAGATCCTGGGAACGAGTTCTGGCGTCAAATTTGAGAAACAAAGCAAAAATGACAAAACACAGAAATTTTCACTTTCGCGCCTATCATCATGGCTTCGGCAACCCCTAAAGCTGTATCACTGCAGTTAAATAGGATGCTTATATTATGATATGGAAAATACAACAGGCAATGCAAGACGATGCCATCCGGACCGCCAGAATTCATCCCGGTTACCGGGCTGAAGTGTTCATATAACAAAATTTCGAGCCCGCTTACCAAGATCTCGGGAACCAAGTCAGCCCGCCCTCTCATACGAACACATCTAAAATTTTTCAAAGGCTTTAGAGGTAAGGCGAGATCTCGAAAACCGGGCTCATGTTAAGAGGCCCAGAGTGCAGTCATCAGGCTCAGGTTGTGGAGTAATGGGCCTCCTCTTTTGCGACAACAAAAGAACACAGATCTTTCCAAAAAAAACGTAGGAAACTTTGGCTTAAATTCTCCCAAAAAGTAAAAAGACGAAGGAGTCGCATCTGCGCTAAAGGTAAGGTGCAAGAGCGCAGCATTTTTAAGGAAAATTTATTTAATGTTTTGAAAGCATGCGCCGAAATTGATTAACCATTAGTTTGCCGGACTGATTAACGGGTTAATTGAAGAGAGGAGTAGGCCCACAACGAGGACTTTTTATTAGTTTTTTTTGTCAGGCTAGACACAAAATATTTTAACCCACCTCAAGCAGACCATGGTTTGTATAGTACAAAAGTGAGAGACTGCAATGTTGCCATTCAAATAAAGCTTCTTCAGTAGATATTACGCAACATGCCAATCGGTTTTCAGTGTGTTAGAGGTTGAAATGCCCGCCCGGGTTGAAATCTTGCATTTTTTTTTATGTTTCTTTTTTATTGTGAGGCATTAATGTTGGAGATCGAAAGTTTTAATCTTCTGTGCTTAGCAGCGGGGAACCTTTTCAAGGCTGTCAATCATGCCCTTCAATGGCAGAGACACTAATTGGCCTCATAAATCAAAATTTCAAGACTCAAAACTCCATAGAACAATTCAGTTGAAAAACATGCGTACCAAAGCATTAAGCACGGTGAATTCTTTATGGAACTGATCGTTAGGTTTTTTTATCTTTTTTAAAATCTTTTTCGCTCACTGATACTTTACTTTTATCGAAAACAAAAGTTTGTGTTTTGTTTGCACGCAGGTGTCAATGTTTCGCGCCATTGCACTTTCAAATTTCACAGCATGCAATCATTTCTTTTCATTCTATGAACTTATCATAAGAGTCTTTTAATCCAGCTGCCATTTACTGCCGTTAAATATTTCCTCCCCACATCAGATGTCCCTACTTTTCTATTGTTTCATAACTTGAGTGTTTAACAGATTACTAAACAGCTTTTAAAAGCCAACATAGGGCGGTCTTGTTTTCGGTAAACATTCACCGCCAAACAATAACTTCTTTGATAAAAGTAACTTGTAAATTACTTTATTTAAAGAATGTATGATCACTATAGGCGACTTATTGTCGCAAATAACTCGATTTTGGTCAGCTTATGTATATTTGACTCGCACACCTTCACTTGCATTTCCGTCAATATTGAGGGTTTTGCCTTAAATAACTGTATATTAAGCTCATCAAGTGATCTTGCTTGCCCTTGCATACGAGTTGGAGGTTGGTGTAGGAGTTGACTTTTTATTATCTCTCTCTAAGCCAACCTGAACAAATAAAACTGAAGAAAGACCTCTTCTGCGAGTCTTTCGGCTCGTTAAAATAATCACCAACCCCACAAGAGATGTTGTCTGTCAATTTCTAGGGAGATTATAATAACAAATAATGGATTCTTCGATCATTGTTGGGGTTTTAGCAGACAGTCACACGCATTGCTAAGAGTGACAATTAAACATTAACCTTGAGACAAGTTTTTAACAATGACACAAAAGGCTGAAGACGACAAGTTTTAATTTGACAGATGAACTTCCAATTGAAATTGCAGCGACGCGATGTCGCGACGAGATAAAAAAAGCTCGAAAAATGGCGTTTTGTTTTTTGACAGCACTTCGACACAGTTGTTGATAAAAACTTTGCTCAACTGTCATTTACTACTAAAAAAAGTTTGTCGAAAAATCCTTTCATTCGTGGCACAGACAGTATGACAACCGTGAATGGAGCTAATGTTGAAAAATCAAATCGATGGGCCATTAATTATCCGTGGACATTATAAAGTTCTGAGCCGGAGCAGCTTTTTTTTTTTTCGTTCGCATTCCGGTAATCAAAAAACGTCACTTGGCTGTTAAAGCGAGTAACTCTATAGTATAATGAACGCGAAGAAAAATTATCAACACTTCAAAACATTTATACAGCTGTACAGGGGATTACAAAGTTTGTCCGCAAAAATCTGATACGCAATCAACTTGAAGATTGTTTCTGGACCGCAAACTTCCGTCCAAGTTCCAAAAACAATAGCTTAAAAGTTGGCAAAGTTCCGGATAATATTTTTGATTGTCCTATCCTTGTAGTTCGTGTGTCACATGCTAATACTGACAAATCCACACTCTCAATCAAATAGAGTAGAAATTAACATTTTTGAAAAACAACTCCACAAAGCTTCCATTGTCCGATTGAAGTCTATTTTGGGTGATGAAGTCAGGTCAATTTGCCTTTATATTCAGTCTTGGACTGGAAGCGGTTTAAGTATTTGTAACTTGACGGGTGAAGTAAATTCAAGGTAAGTAGTTATCTATACCTTTATAGCCTGTCTCAGATCAGCTGTACGCTGACTAACTTCCCGGAACTAGATACAAAACTTGCTAATAGTTGCTAAACGTGTTGAGTAGAATGAACACCGGTGCGTACGAAAAGGCGTAACTAATAGCCATTTGGACAGGAGTCAACTTTGAACCAGATCTGAACAAAACAATAACATGAGCGGCCCGCTTAGTCTATTAGGTGAAGAAAAAATAGAAGCAGCCACAACTTCCTTTGGTAAAGATATTTTACCGGTTATTAGGTAAACGAACGATTAATTTATCTTTTTTCTCATTGACGAAGTTGAATTGACGCCGGTGTCGAGGTAAACCGTTAATGAAAGGTCGAGCTTGAATGCGACTCACTTAATGGCGGTAAATAAGGCATTAGCGGCAGTTTTTGATTCTTAAAATTACCATTTGAGCGACTTTCACTGGCTCGGCGGCGACTAGAGTATGGTGCATATTGACTCCTAGGGGTGCAAAGAAACATTCCCGAAAGATGCGTAACTGATAGAGGTCCTACAGACTCCTTCCAGTTCCAACAGTGCTTTTCCCCTTAACTACCATTTACTCGCAGAAATGGAACAAAAAACTCTGGTGTTTTAAGGTTTTTCCGACGGTAAATTCAGTTTACCTAAAGGTAGAGTCAGAAACTTATTTTCCGACTGAGTCGATACACAACAAATTGGTCAGTGTATTGAGTCCAAGAATTTACGGCGATTCGCTCGCTTTACAGGACCCCAACCTACGCAACATTTTGAGTATTGAACCTCTTCATTCCTTTGAATGAATTCCTCGTATTAACGGGTGCTTGTGACATTGTTTCAAATATAATGGCTTGGTTTTCATTATAAAAAAAATTATAAGCACTAACGAATTTATACCCTTAACCACAAAGAAAAGTTTCTATCCTCCAATTGTTTTCATCTATTGTGTTTTTCCGACATGCGCAAGTTGTTGATCTGGTGCAATGTACTGTTTTTCTTTTCCTATACATCAGGGCCGTCTTCTATTTAATAAAGTGTGATCTTGGAGCGTTCATTACCCGCCAATTGCAGAAAGCTCAAAGAATTGCCCCTTCCCACTGCGAAAAATAAGAAAATGAAAAAGTTCAGTATTCCCTGCACTTTATCATGGACATTTGCGATCGAGAAGCGAAGGTTGATGATATCAGTGCAATAATTATCTATAAAGGCGTCACGCATTTTGGTTTTTAGGTAAAGTTTGCGCCATTTACGTACTTAAAAAGACGCGTAACAACCTCCCAGATTGAGTGTTCAACACTAACATTGCCGTTAATGTGGGGGACAAAGGAGTTATCTTTCAAAATGCAAAAACGTATAAGAATGGCGATGGCTAGGTCGTTACAGATTATAGTAATCAATAAAAGGTATCAGGGTGTTTCCAGTCCGCGTTTTTTTTTTTTACCTTTGGAACCTGTGAAGTACTTTTTAAGAAGTACAGGGTACTTTATTTAACGAAAATTACCACGCATTCATGTTCTAGTTCATTTTCCTATAGGAATGTTTGTTTTCAATTATTTTACTGATACTGAAACGGAAATAAAATTTGAAGTTTACTTTTATAATTACTTTACAAAACCTACAAAGCAAAGTTTTCGGAGGCCATATAAAGTCGGATTTAACAATAATAAAAAGAGATATTGCTTTGCTGAATAATGTTGTAAACAAGGTAATTCAGCTGACCTCATGAACAATCCACTTAAGCGAATATAAACAGGCTGTTCTAATATCAAATCCGATCTTTCACAAGACAAAGCTGTGACGCGACTCTCAATCTGCGTTTATCGCATTTGGGTTAAGTGCCCTCTATACTAAGAAAAGTTCTTATTAATGGTTGGTGGGAGAAAACTGCAGACTGAAAAATATCGTTATCAAACTGGTTGTAACATTTTCAACACAGGTAGACTCCCTCTCTTCCGAAACTCAAAAACTGTGTTTACATGCTTGGCCAAAAATGAAGTTTCCTGCTACAACTGAATTTCCTGGCTTGAATAAAGATTCTCGAGACCTAAGACCCGACACGAAGTCTGCAAAACAGGTAAATATAAATTATATTTTACCTTTAAGATAGGTGATAACGACATGTGATTATGTTTTAATATATCTGAATCCCTGCACACATGCCGACTCTTTGAAATAATTGCTAAGTGTAAGCTTGTTAAATGGAATTACGCTATAGAAGTCAGGTTCTGTATTAAAAATTTTCAGTGGTTTCGGCCAGCTTGCCATTTTTTTTCCAAGAAATTTCTTCTTCCAACTAGTCTTCCAAATCGACAAAAGTGGACTATTCAGAGTTTGGAAACTTTGCAACAATGATGATTTTGGACCCAAGTGCACGCTGAAATTTTTTATTCCTACATCCCAAGCTCGATCAGTTCCTGTAGTCGATTCTGTCAATTTCTCAAATCCTTATCCAGAGAAAACATCCCACTCGCGAAAGTAGCTTCCTTTATAATAAAATGCGAAGCCCCAGCAAAGCTGGTGGTCTTAGTCCTAACCACGATTTAAGTGAAAAGAAGCCTATTGGCAAGACAGAATACAATGGCATTTGTAAAGAGGCAAGAGAAGTCTTTAATCAATGCCATGTCCACACGACAAGACCCTTTCATTAATTATACAAAGTTAATTCTGGATGATTTGTGAAAAGTCGTTAATCAATGCCATGTCCACACGACAAGACCCTTTCATTTATTATACAAAGTTAAATTCTGGATGATTTGTGAGAAGCCTTTAATCAATGCCATGTCCACACGACAAGACCCATTCATTAATTATACAAAGTTAAATTCTGGATGATTTGTGAGAAGTCTTTAATCAATGTCATTTCAACACGACAAGACCCTTTCATTAATTATACAAAGTTAAATCCTGGATGCCTATTGGCGGACTGTGGTGTGTTCTGAATGACTTATTCCCTCGAGCTCAGTATCCATTTTATGAATTTTATACAGTTATTTTTCCATATTTTACCTCTACTCCTTGAACTCACATCTGTCCTATCTTTCCTCTGAAAGCATCTTCAATTCAATTTCATCGCTCTTTGGGGGGCAAAATAGGTTTTTTGCTTTCTGAATCCGATGCCGTTGTTCTTTTAAAAATCGTCGTCGCTTTTGAGTCGAAAATCACAAATAACAAAAATAACAAAAGTTCTAGCAGGGGCGGATCTAGGGGGAGGGTGCAGGGGGTGCGCACCCCCCCCCCCTGAGATGACCTGCAGTTTTCTAATACAACTGGTTTTCTGCAAAAAAAAAGAACTATGTGGTTTATTGGTGTTGAATTAGAGCAAGAGACGAGTGCACCCCCTCCTAAAAGGAATCATGGATCCGCCCCTGTCTAGTTTAGAGATTTCTTGTTCATGAATGAACGCACTCGCCACGGTCTCATGTGGTAATAATTTTCTTGTTCATTCTACTGTCAATAAGTGCGATGAGTTTATTTGCCAGTAAAACTTTCACATAAGTCACTAGCCCTTAAATTTTTACAACGAGGACACTGACTGATTTTCATTACCTCTGCCTCTGTTTCGTATGTTTAATTTATATGCAGCCCAATTCGTTCTTGCTTAAGCATTGAATTAGTGTCCTTTCAGCTCAATCACACTGTCAACAGAGATAAATATTGTGTTCTGGCCGGCTGACTAACTCAGTTCTTAGTCGATGTTTTCTTTCTCGTCCGACATGCTGCGTTCGCGTGCAAGATTCACTCGCGTGCAGTTAAAAGCGATTTAGATAATACCTCGCTCTCTTACAGCTCATTCAGGCTGTCAAAGTACTAACAAATTGCGAACTCGAACCTTAAGTTCAGCTGTTAATGAGTCCGTATTTACCCTCCGTCCTATATAATTTATAAACAAAGGCAATTTAGATACCGCAAACTGGTAAATACTGCCCTTTATCTGCACCAAGAAAGTGGCGTCGTATTGGCCCAATATCTTCGCCACACAGACGCTATTCTAAGGAGGGGTGGGGTCACAATGTCGATATTTTGATGATAATAATAGTGCGATAAGATCACCGGTCAATCACCCACGCTTCCCTATTAATTTGTTTCAGTACGTTCGTTTACTTTAGTGTGATAAGATGAAAAAGATAATAGACAAATTTGACTAAAGATAACCGGTCGGGAATAATTAAACATCCGTCGGGATGTTGTACGTCTCGTGAAACCGCCAGGTTCGATTAACGCCGTCTCCATGTCCGTTCTTTGATCTTGAATGCGGGCTCATTTTCCCGATCGAGCCTAGGTAACCGCTCGCGCTTGCATCGTACTACTCTCAGAGGTGGAAAAATGTGACGTATTTTGGCCTCTAGTCAAGTGTAGGTTCGATTACCAGCAGCTGAAAAAGCTTTTTATCAGTAGTGAAAAGCTGATGCTTTGCCTTCTTGTTGCCTTAAGTAATTTTCATTGTTAAGAATATTCTTAATTTCGTCTAAATAGTTTTGTCACAATCCGTAACGGTCTCTTTTGATCACTTTTGAAAGACCGCACCCGAGAGAGTGGGGGAAATCGAACCTCCGTCAAGTGAGGATCTAATGATAGAGCTCGTCGTTGGTGGGCTTCAAGCTTTCAGTCTTAGTTGCTGTTAATGGTATTGCAAATAAGCTTATTGAAAACGAGTCTGATTTCCCTGTGGTTGTATTTCAGTCTGAGAACTCAAGGTGTCTGAATTTATGTAAAAAGAGACTTTTGTGGTCTGACCATAAATATGCGCTGAGGTTTATTACGCTGCACGACTCTCACTTCGAGGAGAGCTTCAAGCATTTGAGCTTGTGGATTGAATCCCAAGTTTGATTTTCCAAATAGAAACTATCGAGCATTACTTTTGCTGAGTTTTTCTTAAACCTAAGGTGTCCAAGAAATAACAGGTCGTGAAACAACCCGGAAGATGACTGCAAATCCCAACTAGACAATAGAAGAAGTATTTCGGTCATTTCAGAAGTGATCAAAGTCATGAAACGCTCGTGACAAAAGTATCTTCCTGCTGTCTAACATGTGCAAGGTCACGATTTAGTTGTTTTTGTGTCTGGAACATGTGATGCATTCAGTGCTTAAAAATGTGCATCCGCGTTCAGCGAACTCAATGTTTCCGGGACGGTCCTCCTCTGTTAAATCATTCACTTGATTATTCCAGAACATTGACGATGGTAATCACTGTCCCTTATACAAAAGGTTCAAGTCAGTGTGACACTGAACCGAACACGCACGTCATACTTCAAACATCCAATAAACCGCACATTGTTAAAAATACATGAGAGATACATGAACCAATAAAAAGAAAGTCTGCGTCCAGTATTAATACACCATTAGAGCCTCGCATATCTTCCAATAAATCAATAAAAATCAACACAAAAATCTTCAATGAATAAACAGTTCGATTTCCCGTGATACGCCTCATAGAAGCTCATAGACGGCAATGCAAAGTTTCTTCCTGTTGGTCCACTAGAACCGCTTACACACCTAAGTGCAACATATTACGGTATAAGGATCTCTAAGTCACTGTTACATCACCAAGCCTCATGCCCCCTTATGCACTCAATTAATGCTTCCACTTAATCCTATAGTGCTCCGGCGAGAAGGTCGATTTACCGGAGACCAGTACAACTCAGGCTTAACTGGGTATTGAGTCAGTGTTCGATCGAACAAGAATTTATTCGCACAGAATACAACAGTATAGTTATATAACTAACCTGAGAAGTGAGTTTGTTTACTGATAACAAGAACAAGAAATACTGAGGACTACTTACTTTCTCGACTGCTGAGCCGAAAGCTAATCCAGGCAGGGAAAGATTAATTCAAAAGGGCTTAAAGTAATAAAATAAAAGTAACCGATTACGGAAACTCAGCTAGGGATAACAATGCAATAAGTGCAAATAAACTAAGGAAATGAAATGAAATACATCAAAACATTACGCTTTCGGTTTAGGGTGATTTGCTAAAACGTTTAATTATCAGTTGAGAAACTCTTTTACAGAACCGTGGCATTCTCAAACTCTTAAGTTTCACTGAGAAGCATCAGTATTTGCTTAATGTTAAGATTTAGGCTTCTTAAAAAGTATATATCTCTAAATTTGCTGTGAGCGAAGTAAAGAACCAATTCAGGTTGCCAATTCTTGAACTTGAAACTTGACAACAACAACACGGTATAAGTTATCAACTAATTAGGACTATGTACAATATTTGGAAAATATGGGCTATTAAATAGATATTAACTGAAAAAAGCACTGAGTCCGATATATAAAATGTATCAAATTTACATTCTTTTGGTAAATAGTAAGTGTAAGGTCTATATATCTCATATGACAAGGCTATCTTAAGATCTCTTGAAGGCATCATACTATCTCGTACACGCAGGTATTGCCTCTGAAAAAGGCCCGGGAAACGGGTAGTATTCGTTTTTCCCATCCCACAAAGGACAGAAATTACCTAAAAATTAATTATTATTGCTTCGCTTCGCGACGGTATTGCTCGTGACTTCACTTTCGATTGACTTCCTCGGCTCCTTTTTTCAACGATTGCCTCAATAGTGTAAGTTTCTAATTGACGTCTTAGGAGAATAAAGATTTATTATAGCAGCTGTAACTATTCAGTCATAGAAAATAAGTTTCATAACTTATGCTCTGGTATGTCATAAGCTTCACAGAATATAAGACTTCATTTCCTAACTAGTAAATTTCTGGAGTGGACCACGGAGCAACAAAATCGTTATGACCCGTTATCCATAGCTGGGATACCTAGCTAGCGAGCAGTGGTTTCCACAGGACAAAATATTCTCACAGTCTCGGATCCAACAGTTTTGTAATGTTCAATCTTGTTCGATGACGACAAACATTGCCTTAAAAGGGCCGGAGATAAATATTTATGATGACACTAAACTCAAGAGTGGGCCATTGCGTTCATAAAAATACTCCGCCTTCTTGTTATTTAGAGCAATATCGTAACAATTCAAAGACTAACGTTGACTGCCCACGCCACTGATTCTTCTTTAATTCATCCCTAAGAATGAAGTACAGTGTACGTAATGCCTTTTTTCTATTCAGTCATTCAGAATACTAATTTTGAACCATAAATAACTATCTAAGGACGAAATTCATCACTTTTTCTTAAAGCGCAAAACTAGTTCCTAAAAATCAGTATAATTTGTAATAAAAACAATTAAGCAAGTTTGACCTCTTATCTAAAATAATCAACAACATTCTTTAACGGACGAGTGACGAAAAGAAATTTGTAAACAGAGTTGTTGAAAGTTCAAGGTAATTTCCTTTTACATCCCACAATTTAAGGGTTTGTATTATCTTCAGCTCTTATGCAATTTTTTGTGAACAATTTCCTTTTCTTTCTTGTTGACTGATGTAATGTGCCAAATAGGCCTTTTGCTGATGCTATATTTTGACGTTGCCATAGTTACCAATCACTGGTGCTTTTCCTTTTTTCTTCCTTCTTTTAGGGAAACTTTTGAACTTTGTATAAAAACAGAGAGAGTTAGTTTGAAAAAGAGGGTCTAGAAAAGCGTAAAAATGGTTCGATTCCATACTTATTTTTTGGATGTCATACGATACTGTGGCTGACACGCCCCAGTGACTATTTTTCCCTAACGAAAGTGAAGAATAAATCTAGGCCTTTCAATTTTTGAAAGAATGCACTTGACTTTCCCTTTATCTGAACTTTTGCCAAAAAAAGTTGCAACGTAAGATGGTCATTATAGCAAAAACTAAACGGATATTCATCCATGACTGATATGACAGCTTACACGGGCTGACATCATTCAGATTGTCAAAACTTGTTGTTTATTTTACACCCTAATGCTCAAATAATCAGCCCCCATAACTGATGAAATTGAAGATATGAAGCTTTAAGCTATAATACCTGGGGCTAAGACCTCTTACTCTGTCACCCATTAATCTTTTAAGATGTAATAGCCCACGAGCAAGAAAATAACCTCAGATCAGTTTGCCATTATTCAGTAAATGTCGAAGGAAACATAGAAAAAGAAACTTAAAGGATTCTGAGTGATCTTGCTTCTAAAATTTCATGCCATATGCAGGCTGAATCTTTAATACTTTATTCGTAAAATTTAAGTTTAAAATATGGATAAAAACTTGACCAACTGGGTTTTAAGCTGCGTGGGCATGATGCATTGTTATGGATTACCAGCTAACCCTTACCCCTTGCTGGGCAAAAGAGGATGAAAAAATGTTCCATATTTAGGCCCAGAGAGGCCAAAATTAGATCCTTTTTGGAAGCATTTTTTCGCGCTGACGTTCCCAAGTCAAAAGACCGTCTGAAGGTTAAAGACTATCGCTTTTAAACCTGAAGAGGAAAAGAAGAAGATTAAATTGGCGACAAGAGAAGGTATGCCTGAAGAAAAAATTGAATCGGCCTTATGTAATTTGTTCTCAAATGAAAGTGAGACAATAGTGAGCTAAAAGGTCAAGTTAGTTGATGGTTTGGAATTTAAATTATTACTGTTTTTAACAAATATTAAGACGCCTTAAAGCCATGGACAGCTGGCACTAACAATTTGTCTATAATTCGTGATTCGGACGTGCTGTGATTGAACTGTAAACGACTTGGACATCTAATTAAAACAACCCTTGTTTGTATAAACAGTTGTGCAAGAAAAAAGCACAACCTCTATTATACTTCTTACTACTTAATAGCCGTGGTCGGGTTAACAGCAGAAAGTTTATGACTTAAAACGCCAGAACAAAGCCAGCGTGGGTCCGAATGATCAAGAACTGAAGAAGTGTTCGAGAAGAATGTGAAAGGTGTGTCTATCGGAGGAGGCTTTGATATTGATTCTGTACATTTCATAGAAAACACTCAAGTCGCGTCGGTGGAGCGCTTTCTTTTCCAAGCCAATTTAAAATTCAATTATCCATTTTTTTGCCGCAAAACTTTACCCTCAAAGTACATGCGAAAGCAACGTTATTTCAAAAACGCAAAATATTACCTTTAAAAGGTTTACGCGGCGACTCAACACCACGAAAGTGAGACAAAGTAGCGCCGATTGTCGTTGATGAGTTTGCACTGCTGTGGGAAGCTCCAGCTTTTATGGAGCGAAATCAGAGTTTTATTTGCAAAAATTTAATCACACGTGCCAGTTCCAAATCAGAGGTTTTAGACCTAACATATTTTTTTTAGGTGATAATATTTATATTTTTTCGGTGCCAAGGACACGAAGAGAAATCTTGTCGCATTTTGCAATTATGTATAGCTTGAGGGCAAATTCTATTGTGCAGAAAAACAATTAGTGCAGTGGAATGTCTACAGCTGGCTCGTGTTCAACTCCCGCCAACATCCCGCCAGCCATACTTTAGACGTGACTAAGACGAAATTCGAGACCACCAAGAAGCCAAATTTGGACTGCAAGAACGACAAGTATCTGAAAGAAAGAAAAAGCAATTTCCGGTTTCCTGTTTCCCCAAGAATTGCAGTGTTGAAGATTTGAAAATCTGACTTAGATATTTGGTCCGGAGATGTTAAGTAAATGTTTTGAAACAACAACAGGTCGCGCGTAAAAGTGTAAGCACATTTTATACAGTACTTTATTTCCAAAGGAAGTTGTCGAGTTCTCAATGACGTCATTGACAAGTGTCAATGTTTCCGGCTGCTAAATCGATCCCGCCCAAATTGAACTTGAGTGACTTCAGCTTTGCGCCTTGAGGCGAAAACATCGAGAAAACATCGCTGAGGGAATGATGAAGTATGGTGCATAAATATATAGAATTTGTTTTACTAAAAGACCACATTGAATCTAAATTCGCCTTGGTTGAGAAACGTGTCAACTATTTATTCGATGTCAGGCTAGATCTAAGCGGAGAAGAGGACAATTTGCGATGTTGGGTGAAACTAGAGGGCAATGAAAATGACATTCATCGAGCTAAGGTTCGCCAAGGATGCTGAATGTTTTCTCTTGGTAGAGATTTTAGGTATTTTGAGGTTATGTGGTTTAACTACAGCTTTCTAAACGCTGTCTCTTTCTTCTTGCAGGAATATATCATAGGCGTTTGTTCGCCACGCTCACCGGTGTCTTCCCTCGACGACGACAATAACAACAGCACTCATTGCTTGGCAAAACAAACTTCATCTGTGAACCAGATCAATAATAACCAGAGTGATCGCGACACTTTCAATCATCAGGAGATTTCAAACAGTTCAACTTTTGGCCTAGAAAGACTTAATCTTGGCAATTCACGTTTAGAACATACTTCGCGGGGCGAAAATTTAGAAGCTCATAGCACGCAATCCACCAAAAGATCGGAATGTGCTTATCCAGCAAACCGCAGCGAAGGCGATAGAGCCGGCGAAAAGGAGCAGCTAGTGCAAGAAATTATGGTCGCCCCAAGAGCGACTGAAGCTGAAAAGAGAGTGAGCGAAGAGACTGATGAGGCTTTGAGAGATTTTGCCCTCAAGTTGGGCTACAGTCAGGCTGTTATTAGCGCTGCACTTAGCAAACTTGGACCATCAGCGGATAAAAATGCTCTGCTTAACGAACTTTTGAAAGCTGAATCGTCTTTAAAACAACTGGAGGAAGGTTCTTCAAATGTATCCAACGAGAAACCTCATCCTGCACCCGAAGATGCGTCTTGTCTTCGTCCGATCGTGATCGATGGGAGTAATGTGGCCATGAGGTAAGTATAAAAACGTTACATTGAACAAAAAAACGTTCTTAAGTATTTCCTTTACATCCCTGTTTATAGATGAACTTCTTATTGTTGAAAACGTCCGATTTTATCTCTCGCGAAATCGCTTCGAGAACAACCAATCGAGCACTTCAATCGAACGACAGTTCTGTTTGCACAAAAACACGTACTTTGTGGTGTATGAATGGAATGCTGTAATTAATTGAGGGAAGATATGAAAACACGTCCCTTTCAAAATACACAGCACTTTGCACAAACGTTGCCTATGATGGAAATTTTACACTGCCGTTTGTTGCTATTAATCAATTAATCGTCTGATGTACAATTATTTGTGGCGGAAGGAATACTTTCAATTGTTACACGTGCTCGCGAGAACACATCTTTATGTAATTCATTTAAATTCATGTATTTTGCATTAAACAAAAGACTTTAAAAGAGATACGTTTCATATTTCTAATATCCTTCTTAAGGAAACAGCCTGTGAAAACTTTTTTTTCTGTTAACGAAATTGGACTTTGAAATATCAGCGTATTAACTTAGTCATACCTGACGTACCCAGAATATTCTCTGTGTAGGCTTGTTTGCCGTTGTTTTAAATTAAATATTGTTTGCTCTCTTTCGAATCAGAGCTTCATGATTTGAAATCATCATTTGTCTTCAAAGCATGAAATTTCTGGGAAAAGATAAAAACTACAACAGAAACCGAACGTACGGAAGAAAAGTTGGATAAATTCCAAGACAGTAATCTGTAAATTGTTTTAAAGTACAACGCATGACTTCTGTATGAATTTTTTTTTAGTACTGTTACAGCAAAGTGCACTTCAGAAAATTGTCAACTCTCTGTTCAGTGTTGCGCTTTAGATTGCTTATTATTAATATTATTCAACTAAAATGATTCCTGGATTAAGAGCTCACAAAATGTTTACGTTTTGGAAAGTTTTAACAAAATTTTGTTATCAATATGAAGTACATGTCAAAGACTAGTTCATGCACATTAATTTTAATCCACAGACCTACAGCGTCTGTAATAATATTACAGAAAGGGTTATTTTCATAGTTTGTGTGTCACATAATGTATATCATGTTTGGAAAAGTGATGAAAGTGCCATGATAAATTGTTACATATGAGAGCCAGGATAATGGTTGCATTATAAGAACTGTAAAATTTGTAAGGTAGTTTTCATGTGATCCCTAGAACTTCCAAGTTTTTCTTGAACCTGGTATATCCGATATAATTTTATGAAGCGCAGTATTTGGTGTAGCCAAATTTTCAGTGCTTGTGGAATAAAGGCTTATTGGAAGAGCTAGGAGAAACCATGGGGATGTGTTGGTTTTGAAAGTCATTATAATTCATCAAATTGTTTTAACTATTACAATAAATTGCAATTCTGAACAAATGTGACAAAACAAAACAGTTTATAAGTGTAAAAAAAATGGATGTTTTTGTCAAAGTCTTGCCATCTGTTGGTAATTTGTATTGCATTTCTAATAGATGCAACATATAGCATTTTTATATTGATCACCACTTTCGTGTTAACGTTTTCACTCCTGGAGCAAATCAGGGACTCTTGTATGGTGGTTCTATGCTGTGGATGAACACCTATGTTTTCTTTCACATTATAAATTTGTATGTCAGTATTTTACACAATAAAATGTGGAATTTTTGCACAGATTTTACTTCGGCTACTTCTGGAAGTGAAAGGCCAGGGCGAATGACTGAAATTCCTGCTGCAATGTGGCATATTATGTAGTGATCATATTTCCCTTCAGTAGAAATGAGGCATAAAGGGGTTATGTCTTGCTATTTGCTATCTTTTTAAATAGCTAAAACATGTCTTCACATTAATGGAATTCAAAAATAACAGTCTGGACAGTTTTGATCTTTAAGACTATATTTAGGTTCTGAAACTGTTTCCTGCTGTCTCTGTTATAAGGGATGGTACGGATGAACGTGGATTAAAACGTGAAAAATCTGGCTTAACCTTTTCAAGTTTTAATGATGTGCCCGCAAAATTCACCCCAAACTTTATTACGATCAGTGCTACCTTATGGAGTTTGTTTCATATGATCTTAATAACTTTACAGTCCTGAACATTTTGTGTGCAGGTCGCGTAGCCCCTTTAACGCTAAATAGCAGAAACAGTTTACGCATTTGGTTTTAAAGACTATAAGGTCACATGTGGGACTGAAAAAAAAAACGTGCTAAAATGATTAACTTAAGAATAGGAAAGAAATGGAACCACCAAATTTTTGAATCAGATGATCTTGTTTTTCTGGATTAACTTCAGAAAGTCAAAAGGGAAATCAACCACCGGGAAGCATAGATCACATCATGGCTTTTATATATTTTGGCTAGTGGATTGAAATATAATAGTGCAACATCTTAACAAGAATCGCTGCAATAAGCTTCTTGTAAAATACATGTAATGTAGTCACTCCTGCTGAAACAAGTGAAGTAGTATGAAGTGAAGAAAGTTTGTGTTTTTATGCTCTGTAAAGCTCTTGAAAGCTCTGTGAAGACGTGCTGAATATCAAGTCTTTTCAAGTGACACAGAAGTTATATATGAACAAGTTATAAGCAGAAATCTGGTAGCAAAATACATAGGAGTACTATAAAATTGTATTTTTTTACACTCTGTACATCTCAATGCTTTTGAGTCACATAATATTTCTTAGATTATTAATTTAGCAAGGCCATATTATACGGCACAAATGAAAGTGAAAGACCACTGAGGGTGGCCAGTATCGAATTTCTCACTAAAATATCATTGAGAAATAAATATAAGATCGTTGCAGTGGTAATGCAATTTAAGAAATTGCAAATTATCGCAGAAAAAAAGTTTTGGAACTTCAATGAGATTTGAACCCAGAGGCCATGGGTTTGAACCTAGTGAAGTCCCCAAATTTTTTTTCATGTTAATTTGCAATAATTTTGCTTAAATTGCAATTACCACTGAGACAATCATATCCTCATTAAACTTTGTAGTTCCCTAGTTCATATTATCTTCACTCTAAAATATCATTGCTCATTCAAACAGAGGTCTTCTGAATAAAAGAAATGTCAAATTAAGAATTTCATGATTGCTGAACAAATTCTTCTCATCCAAACCACATGTGTTGAGAATATAAAAATGGTTAATTAAATAAGTGCAAAAGACAGCAAATTATGGCAGAAGAGTAACTTACTGCAGCCCCTTGTAACTGGATCAGTCTACAGAGTGAAACTAGATAAAATTTGGAACAAGCAAGGTTAAAATTGTGCTAGCCTGTGGGTGCTCTTATGTTATAGAACAAATGAACTTCCAAGTGCAAGAGTCGTCCTGATCTATTATAAAGAGCATTTTCACAGTGTTCTTATAAGTTTTTCTTACATATACTTAAAGGATTAACAGGACATATCTGTTGAAAAGAAAATCCATATATTGATTTCTTTTTCTGTTTTGCAGCCATGGGACCCAAAGAGTGTTTTCATGCCGAGGGATTGGCCTGGCAGTAGACTGGTTTCTTCACAGAAACCACCGCAACATAAAGGTGTTCGTGCCGATGTGGCGAGCCAAATCATCAAGACCTGAATCACCTATTGTTGACCAGGACGTTTTAAAGAGACTTGAGGCAGATGGCATCCTTGTTTGGACTCCAAGCCGACAAGTCACTAGTGGGCGCATTATTAAATGCTACGATGACAGGTATATAATAAAGCATGCCTCAGAAACAGATGGTGTCATAGTGTCTAACGATAACTTCAAAGACTTGATGTCGGAAAGCCATGAGTGGAAAAAGGTGATTGAGCAGAGACTACTCATGTATACCTTTGTAGATGACAAGTTTATGCCTCCTGATGATCCTCTAGGACGACACGGTCCGACCCTCAGTGAATTCTTAAAGAAAGGCTGTGGGAAATTATGTCCATATGAGAGGCACTGCACCTATGGAAACAGGTGTAAGTTTCTACATCCCGAGAGAAACCCTCTCAAAGTAGAAGCAGATTCATTGTCAACATGTAAAGAACACCTTCCGCCAGAGGTTCCATATGGTCAGGTGAAGAGAAGACCTCTGCCGCCATGCCCACCGGAACACCAGTACTCTAGGCCCCTCCCTCCTGCCCCCTTGGAATATCACAAACCGCTGCCCCTTCCGCCACAAGGGGAATTTCCACAACAGATGGCCAGAGTGTTCCCCCCAACATTACGCACAGGCCAGACGGTTGGTATTGGTCAGCGACGGTCAGACCCCTTACCCTATCGTAAGGAGCTGCCTCCTGATGTACAGATAATGCAAGAGAAATTTGAGAGAACTCTTAGCGAGCCATTGTTCCAAGATCAGGCTTGTGGGAGAGTACCACCAAATCAATTATTACGAAGAGGAAGCCTGCCTCCACAAACTTATCCACCACCATACTCACCCGGGCCCCCAGAAATCATGATGCATCGCTCTTTGCCAAGGATTCCCAATGACAATGGCATGATCAGTAGAGACTGGATGTACCCAGGACAGGGTTACCCATTTACGCCTCATTTTCCTTCCAACCCGCCAGTCAGCAGCCAGTCGCCAGTGTATCAAAGCCCTCAAACCACATCACTGCCACCAACAAATCCCTGGCCAGGTATGCAGCCATTCCATTACCAGTACGGTCCGGATAACTTTGCTCCCGGTCCATTCCATCATGTACCTGGTTTTAATGGACGCACACCATACCATGGTCAGGGAAACAGCTATTTCAGGTCACGAGCCCCTCCCATTATTGGTGGTTGGTGCGGCGATGTGACTGATAACCCTAAGGAAGGAGGAACCTCATCAACCCTTGAAGTCGAGAAACTTCGTATCGAAGCTTATGAAAAGCTGTGTGAAGTCTTCCCTGATGACGTGGAGAAAGTGCTCGAAATACTTGATAAATATTCTGAAGAAACAGATGTTCAGAAGTTGACACTGTATGTGTTAGATGAGAAAGACAGTGGTGCTTAAACATTGCTAAATAAATATCATTATTTGTGCCAGTTTACGTTCCTTGAACAAAGCCAATTAATAAGTTAAATAATAATTGCCTTAGAGGATAAATAGTTTATGAAAATAATTGCACAGCATGTCAACATAATGCAAAACAGTTTTTACTTAAAGATTGTGTGCTTTTTTCTAGAGTCATTACAAAGATATTTGCTATTGTAAATACACCATATTTTGTATTACTAATATTATTGTTTTGGATTTTACTTTCAAAAGGAGGAAATCACCAGAAACTTAAAATAAATTCACCGGACCAGTCTCATTGCAACAAAGTTAGCATTAGGCTTCAATACTTTTACATTTCAATCATTTTATAAATGTAATTACCCCTTATTTTTATTGAGGTGTTTAATCGAAATAAGAAGAGTGTATATTCGTGCAGGATGGACGTTGAACTGTTTAAGTTCGTCAATTGATGTTGACATGCTGGTTTTTTTGATAAGTTTAATTTTGCTAACTATACAGTGTTTTTGTTTCTGCATGGGTAATAGAGTTATTGTTAGTGTTCCATGTTGTTAATTTCTACTGAAAATCTGTAATTATGATTCATCCTTACTATCCCAAAGGGAAAGATATTGTATAATTAAGGGATATAGAGCAGTTAATCTCAATTAACATTCTGTCGTGCTAATCTGTGTGTCAGAAAAAACAGTGTAGTGCTCTTCTCAATTTTAAGTAGGTAAGAATTACTTGAAAGTTGTTTGCAATAATGGTGTTTGTAATTTTACAATAATTAGGAAGAACTGAAGTGCATAATTATTTAGAACATATTATTTTTGAATTGGACTGGACTTGATGCACTTCTTGCTGGTCAAGATGCAAGCCTTGCTGGACAAGAGGTCGGGCAGCGTATGTTCTGGTATTCTTGCATGTGATCATCTAATTTTCAGTGATACTAAATTTTCATTGTGAAGAAACCAGGCAGAGGATGTTAAGACACTGTTTCTCTATTCAAGGGCCTTATTTCTTCACTTTGCATGCCAAATTATTGAATATGTGGAGTTATTTACTTTGGACAGACTCAAGTCTTCCTTATACTCCAAAGAGCATTTATGTTATTTCATGGTTCTTACCGTATTTACACTGTATTATCAGTAATAATTATCAGATTAGTGGTGGGAGTTAAGACATTCATCAACTCGCATGTGTAACTAAGTTGATGAAACAGCTAATACTCTTAACATGCAACCGGCATGTAATGATAAGACTTGTATGATATTCATTGAGGAGAATTAATAATATGAACTCAAGAGGTTGTCTGGTACTTTTATTTACAGTTCCATTGGTGGTAAATTAATCTTACAGTAAAATGGTGTCGAGTGGTTGTTTAAAAAATCCTTAATGTTAAGGCTAAGTTTTTAAAAACATTTCACTCCATCTGCTTTTTTAATTCATTGGTACTCTACCAATATCATAATTCTTAATATGTTAAAAGTATTAATCTTTGTACAGGTTTTTATCAGCTTTTTCTGATGTTTTCTAATTATTTGCATTGCAAAGTGATCTTATATCATTTGTAGGTATGATAAATTGGTAGTTTTCTCCACTGCTTATTGTTAGAAACCATGAAAGACTTGTGACATTACCAATTGAAAGTGGCATTTTATCTTATTTTTTTGTTATTTTTTTATTATTTTTTATCTTATTTTTTTGTTATTATTAAAGGCAGTTCATCAAACTTGTTCAGTGTAGGCATCATAGAAATCACATTGAATTTGTGCACATTGTCCTTAAGTGGGAAAGATATATCCAAGTTTATAATCTCTTATCAGTGAGAACTTGTTTAATTGTAGCATTTTCTTGAGATGGTCTGTTGTGAAAATTTTTTTGTTGTTTTTAATTTAAAAATAAAGCCATTTTCTACTTTTGGAAATCAAACAAGTCTAGCGTGACTATTAACAATACGTGTGGTGTGAGAGTGCTCTTTGTGAGAGCATTCACTTGTAAGTTAGTTTACATTAGAAGAAAACTGATGTGTAATTTTGTGCAGTTACTAGGAAAAGTGTGCTGATATCATACAGCAACTTGACGAGTTTCTAATGAAACTGACATTAAAGCTGCAAAAAAAAAGAAGCTTTGTTTGTTGTCTTGGTTAGAACATGAGTGCTTACATTGTCAAATTGAGAAATGATTGTTAGGCAGCTTGATTATTTTTGTGGGGGGTCACTGGCTACATAGTGACATCAAAACTTTCACCATTAAACTTAAATGAGGCCACCTGGGGAGCTGACTGTGACAAATGCAAACTGCAGGCAGGCAGGTAAGTTACAAGGTAAAGTTTGTTGTGAAATGCTCTAACAGATTCCCTGTCCCTGAATTAGACTTATCGAAGACTCAAAGTTTAGGGATAGGGAATTGGTTAGAGTATTTCATAACGTTTACCTGGTTTGCCTGCAAGTCTGCAGTCTGCATTTTTTGCACACCATCTGAGAAGGAATTAAACCCTTTAGGCCCTAAGAGCGGTCAGCATCAAATTTCTCTGTGTAATATCAATGCTTTGTAAGACAGAGTGGTCGTGATCACACAAGATGAATTTGCTTGATATTTTATCAACTTCTCCCCACTACTTCTGTAGGAAATGAATATGGGCAACAAATGAGAATTCAAGTTTTGATGTTAGGTTTTAAAGGGTTAACCCACTAGTCTTGCGTCCCTGTTCCACCATGTCGCTTATAAGAATTTTACCCTTACAAGGCCTCTGGAACGTCTGTGAGTTTGCCCTCTACAAGGTCTCCTACTGCTTGCCAAGTTCGCCTTTTGGTGTTATTATCTCCAAATTCTCATTAAATCACTTATTTGGACATTTTGTAAAACTTATACCTGGGAATTGGCTTGGGTCATTGAAGGAACTCGGATGGCATGGAAGTTCAGGAACTGGGTCGATTTTTGATGGATCATGGTGTTCACACTTAACACTCGCATGGGGCTAACTCTTTACAGGGCCACTTCATTATGGGGTGAACTCGATTTGTTACAGGGGTTTTCCCTCTTCAGTTCAACCTCCATGTGCGACCGCCTCTCGTAAGCTACCAGCCCCCATAAGTGACAACCTATCCAAAACTCCCAAGCCTTACAGTTGGAACCTCTATTAAATGACCACCTCCTGTAAGCGACCACAACCACTTTTAGGGGCTGAAAGTTCAATGATTCTCCACTGTTTTTAACCTCTTGTAAGCAACTACTTGACACATTTGCTGATCTATATGTTTGCTGTGTGCACTATGCCACTTAGCATATGCAAAAAACTTTAGTAACAACATGAACTACCCATGGTGTAACTTAGAAATTGCATGCAATAAATTATCGCCCATAAAGTGGATGTGCCCAGACCTGTACTCCAAAGGTACTTTTATTAGTGGGGCAGCCATCCCCTGCTACATCTGTAGAACAGGTTTCATTAATTTTATTGTGTGTGGAGTTAGTCTATACTGCAAAGGTATCCTAGGAGGTCAGCCATCCTTTGGTATTTCATGTATGTAGCCACCACTGAAAGTGGCCATAAGAAGTGCAATCAAGGGAGTGGGTATTAGGCTGAAAAAAGGGAGGAGAACGAGGGCAGGGAGTTAAAAGAAATGTCATTCTTCCCAGCTCCTTTGACTCATCATAACTCCTAAAATATTTTGGAGTTCAAGAATAGCTCACCCTAAGTTTTAGGCCTCAGTCATTCAAAAGGTGGATGATAATTATCATTATATAATTATTATTAATTATTTTAATATTATTATTATACCCACTAGGAGGCCATCTATGTTATTTCAGCTTTGCTGGGTACCGGCCTGGCCAATAGGAAAAGGTCCTCTGTGAGGTGCCTTCCAAATGCAGTCCCACAACCTGTGACAGATGGACACTAGGGGTGGTCAAAGCGAGAAATTGTTGCGTCTCTGATGGTTCTTTACCTTAGATTTAGGTCAGTGGTTTTTGAATGAATGAAATGTTGTGGACAAGAAGGCAACAGACATTAACAATAAGCTCAGACATCAGTATACAAGGGCTTACCATGACTCACCCAGTCCATGATATCAATAATATGTGCAAGGTGGAGCACACCACTGGGGAAACATCCTCTACCTTTTTCAAAGAGTAGTGTGGGTGCGAATTGACTTTAAGATATTATTGTTGACGTCTAAGGCTTTCAATGGCTTAGCGCCTTTTTTATCTCCAGGAACTTATTAGTCTTAAAGAAGCATGTAAATACAAGTTACGCTACGATTGTGATGGACTGCTACTAAACCCTTTGAAATTCAAGACTTTAACAACGTTAGGAGATCGATCTTTTACTGCTGCTGCTCCTCAACTATGGAATTCATTGCCGTATTCAATTAGGAGTAGCCCCTCAGTAGCATCTTTTAAAAAGACACTCAAGACATTTTTATTTCAGAAAGCTTTTTTGTGATTTTATGTGCTTTTTAATCTCTTTTTTATTAGGTTTTATGCAGCTTTTTAAGATTTGAGTAGTCCAGGTAATTTTTATAGTTTTAGTGTTGACATAATTGTTTTACTCTTTTTGGTAGGTTCATGCACTTTTTGCATGTATACTTTATGCAGTCTTAGTATTTTTTTTTAAATATTTTTATTTTAAGCACTGATGAAAATAGCAATATTGATATGGGTGCTATATAAGTATTATTATTATTATTATTATTATTATTATTATTATTATTATTATTATTATTTATTTTTCTTACGTCCCCTTTTACTTGACCATGCCAACAAAAGAAGGATGAAGGAGACAAGGCCAAGGGCTCCTGCCTCTTAACTTAAGACAAGGTCTTAAATGATCTTACCAGTTATTTAAAAACCCTAGTTGTTGGTCTGGCCGGGGTTTGAACCCAAGACCTCCCACCCAGCAGCCTGATGCTCTCCCAACTGAGCAAACCAGAAGGCAGTAAGAGGCACCATGTTTTTCAGTCCATATCTGAGAAGCTAAGGAGGAAGCACTGCCCCTGTTGGCATTTTTAAATGCCAAGTATTAGTCTTCAGTTGCTTTTGTTGCTGTCACAGTTTAAACCCATCTTCAAACCATTAGTCACCATCTGTCTTGCGTCAATATGTGAAGAAAATCCCTAAATGACCGAGACCAGGTTTTATGAGCCCGCGAGACTGGGCACCCCACCCGAATCCTCGTTTTCACTAAAACTGCTGGACACCAACCTGGTTGAGGACATTGTTAACAGAGGTCTTCCATGTGTGAAGGCCATGTCAATAATTACCAGAATTCTACCATTATCAGGGCCTCCAGAAATAATGAATGCCAACCGCAATGCACTGGATAAGACCATGCTTTTGTCTTCTAAATTTTTTAATTAAAAAAAGGTAAAATTAAATACACACCAAAATATCAATACTAATGAGCTAGGCACTATTGCTATTTCTCAGACCGAGACTTCTGTGCTTGTCTTTTCTTGACTTCCCAGTTGTAAACTCTAGCCATGTCTGAATTAAGGTTAAGGAGATATCATGGTTACAAAAAAACAAGGGCACCAACCAAGAAAATGCTCAGGATGATTTGAGAATTTGGCAGTTCAAATAATGACAGATTTCTTGAGGTTAATATGATTTTTTTTTTTTACAAAGAAACAGCCAAATGGCTTGACCTTTTTTATTTTGATCAGTCATGTGTTGTTTTGCCTCCTATTACACAAGTTTTATTTCCTTGACTTTTTGCTTCATGTCACTGCTCCTTTTTATCTTTATATCGATACAAAATGTGTCCCTGGTGTTTTTTTCTGAGACCACACTTGATGTGGGCAACCAGATGATAGGGACACTATGGTATGTCCCCTTAGTGTCTGTATTAACCTGGTTCCACTGTATTTTACTTTTCAATGTGCTATTGCTATTATTAGAATAATATCATAGGTGACAAATTACTCCTTAAATTTGGCGTGAAATTTCAGTGTTAAATTGCCAAGGCAACCTTCCATACGTCTCAGTGCCAAGATGGCGAGAATTTTTAAAATGTTGTGAATGAAGATGTCAGGGCATAAAATAATGCTTTAGAAAACCTGAACACACGAAAGAGCACATTAAGATAGGATTCTAAAAGGTATTCTTTCGAAAAATTCTAAAAATTCTGAACTTAAGCCAAATTTAAGCTCTAAACTTTTGAGAGAGTGGAATTCTCGATCGATATGATCCAGGACAAACATGTCAAAAATCCACGATTGCCAACATAATTCCTTACCCATGATATTAATAGGTAATCAAATGGTATACTTGTGAAATTAGGACATAATTTCACTTGTGTTTTGTCAAAATCCTGGACAAAACGCACATGAAATTATTCCTTAATTTCACTCGTCACCATAATGGATTACACATACATATAGTTCTGTTTATCAAAGGATACTGACTTCAGTTGTTGTATACTGATCTCTAAGAAATCCCAAGTCCTCTTCTATTTCTGTTAAGCTTTTCTGCGCAGTATTAAGGTTTTTAGATAACAAAGCTTCTGCTTCTTCAATACTGTATTCTAACATCACATTTGCCTGTAAGAATGGCAACATAATAGTATGGTTATATATCCAAAACAAATTGCACTGACTAATGTTGTCTATGCTGTCTTCATCGTTTACTGTGAAAGCTTTGAACCCATGCGTCATTTCATATTAAGTAGGTGGAGCATGATCGTCCAAGTGAGCTTAGTCCTGAATAGGACTGTTGCTGAAAGTGACTGACATTTCAACAACCTGTCAAAAGGCTTTCCTGTCTTTAAGAACAAAGTGCTAGAGTTTTGTTTCAAACAGTTACTGAATTTGTCTAGCCACACTCCTTCGCAGCCCTTATTTGTTATCATAATAATTGTGATGTTGAGGTGGGACCTCTCCTATTAGTCTGGTGGTTTCCTGAGGTTTCCTTGCCTAACAATTACTGTATTCCGTAAAATTCATTTTAATAATTATCGGGGCTAATAAATGATGATGATGATGATGATGATGATGATGATGATGATGATGATCAGTTCTATCATGTCAATGATGGTATAACTCTGGTTAATGACCTGATTGGTCATCAAGTCACAATGGTATTAGTCGTTTATCAGATAAGCCATGATCTTATTGGCTGTGAAGACTTTAACTGTCAATTTTGCATTCAATCTGTCTTTTGTCACACTTGAACAGTCGATCATATATTGTAAGTGAAATTGTTGGTTATCCAGTCATTCTGTCATTTTGCTTGAGTCCGTCAATGAGGGTCGTGAAGGGGGGTACCAAATCCCAGTTCCCAGCCTAAATTTGGCCCAAATCCCAGTTCCCAGGCTAATTTTTGCCAAAATCCCAGTTACCAAATCTAAAATCCCATTACTAATGATTATTTGCAAAAATCATGCGCGTAATAAATTAAAAGCACTGATTGACGCTATTTGGATACACGTACCTTCACCTGGACTGAAGAAAATCTCTCATTCTGCTGGTGAACACTCTTTCTCTTCCAGCCATATGCAAACTTGCAGAACTTGTCCGCTGACCAGGAAAACTGACAGAACGTAACTATGCAACCGTGTAAGCCTGGTAGCTAAACCGCGGGCGCAAAGGCGAAAAATACTGATTTCACGGTCTCTACTGAGGAGTGCAAGGTCTATTGCTACGAAATTTTATTTTTCTATTTCAAAATATTGGAGCAAAGACCGCTGAAGAAAAGAAATCCCATATAATTGTTCATCCCATTCCCAGTGGCTAAATCCCAGTCCCAGTGAGTAAATCCCATTTTCCCAGTCCACAATAAGGCTAATCCCAGTTCGCATTTTACCCCTTCACGACCCTCGTCAATGAGTCGATTGTGTGGTGCTTGTATTGTTGACTGTGATTCAGTGGTGTTTGTTATAAGTTATAGTAAACTATCTTTCTAAAGTGAAACATTGATAGTAGTCTGTAGAATACATAATGCAGGCCACAGAGTCCCAGTCTATTTGATGTTTAAATGGTGTTCAGCAAATGTGATTGTTGACATCACCAACTTTGTTTTAAAAACTTAGAGTCCTTTAGAATTCGACTACAGAAAAAAATTCACTAATATTTGACAAAAACCTGGAATAAGAGGGATGAATTTTGAAAAACAATGAATTCACTTTTTACGAGACATTCAGGAATGTGGCTTAGAGCCGGCTGCCAGCTAATTTCATGGCTGAAAAAGAGCTTACACTAGCTCAAATTGCTCTGGAAAACCAAGACATGGAGTAATTTTGACAGTGCAGTTGAGTATAAAAGTCTGCTTAGTTTTTCCTCAGCTACATCCCTGGACATTTTTTCTACTGTCGTCATCATCATTGTCATCACTTCCTGTTGACTCTGGTTTGAGTGATAAAATTGAAGTTCAGGCCTGCTGTTTGATGTCTACAGCTTTAAATCCTGAAATTACATTTTAGTTATAATGATTAATTCTTACCCCTAGCCAAAGCATCACTTTTTCAGTGGGTGGCACATCAGCAGTGCAATAGACTTGATCAGACAACAAAAATCTGCTCTGTAGTGGCTTGGAACTTCCCTGCATTAAAGGAAGCAAAATAACACCAAATATTTTAGTCAAGAAAGTGATAACTGACTGTGAACACCATGGTCTCTTCCATTTACAATCACATTACATGTGTTTCTTTAACGGTACCTTTTTTGAAGATAATAATTTGACCATCTCCAAACTAGAATTTAAATCTGGAACTTGAATTTGTAGCCTGCAAGATATGTTAAATATTTCCAACAAAGTTACAGTCAAGAAGTCAAGCATACAAAGTTACACTGGCAAGCACACAACTACTATACAACAAGACACTTTGGGAGCATATATTTGGGCGTTGATGTACTAGGTGTGTGTGAAGTTTTTTTTATGTGTTAGGGATGTGTGAGTTGTTCAGTAGCGTTGTATATTTTAGGGGTTGGTTGAGATACGTGAAGTGAAAGGCATGGAGGTATACTGGATGGGAATCAGTAAGATAATGGCTGTAGTTTGTTAATCAGTGAAAATTGTTTCTCGTAGAGTTTACTATGAATTAGTAACAAAAAATATTTTGAGAGGTAAAAGTGATTTGCCGATTTGTTTGCGGTGCGTTATCTGTGGGTCGTATGTAAAGGAGATAAATGTTGTGTTGTGACACAGCGTGTGGCAGACATTTGTGTCACTTGGCTTGTTTACTTGGCTTGTTTACGTTTGCGCGTATTGCGTGCCTATTGCAACTTTGAATCAAAGAAAACTGACTCAATTACGCCCAAATAATTACACTGTTTTAAAGCCTTGGATTTTGATTTTGTTTTATGGCCTCTCAGTTGTTTGGATGGATTTTTTAATTCAGATATACGAGGAGAAGCATGGGTCTTTTGGCCTTTCTGCTACTTGGTTTGAAAGCTGGGAAAATCAGCCTGGTTCATTGGAACCATTGAAAACTATTTTCCACCCCTTCTCCTTTTCTTAGGGGCATAGTAAATGGTGACCTAAAGACCTTTCAAAAATACTGAAAATTCCAATACAGTAGCCTGCGAACAGACTCCCAAGTAAAGCAGGCTGAAAAAGAAAATCGGCTTGCTTTGCTCGCCAAGCATTCATTTTCCTGGAGGAGAAAAACCGCTTGGAGCCTGTATACTATGTTTTGATGCCATCCATGACCATCTACCCACTTGCAATTATCCTGTAACACATATGTCAATAACATGTCAATAAGGCAACAAGACCTGTCGAATTATAATGCTACTTTTAAGCTTAAATGTATTAGCTTCAATAACATTTGTATGCATGTGGAATATATCAGGGGCACCCAACAAGGATATAGTTCAAAACCACTTAACACATAGCATTGTTGAACGTATTTTAGTATTTTAACGGTAGATATAGGCATATTTTTATCCCCTAAAAACTTTTCATCTGTTCGGATTTCCTAGCTGAAAGTCTAGTGATCCGAAAATTATAGGGATCAAAACTTACCTTTTCGAAAATTTCAGCCAGGAAAAGGCTCCCGAAAACTCTAGGTGGCCTTTTTTAGGGTGATGGGTAATTATACCATTTTGTAGATGTTCGAAAATCCTAGGAGAGGCAGGCAAGCAAGAAATTTTACAACAAATGTTCCAAAAATTCTAGTTCTCAAATTGTCTTCCGAACAGATAATTTCCCGAAAATTGCCGTCGGGTGCCCCTGATATATTCATTCAATATTCATCGCTCACTTGTCAACAGTCAGCAATCTCACAAATCAGATCATGATCATGATACCAGAATCTGGTATCCATGGGGTTTCATTAAGGAATACATGGCACCACGCAAATTGACTGGCTGTGATATTATGTGACTTTGCCCGGCTGCTTAACATCTCAAAGAACTTTTTTTAATACAAGAAACAAACAGTTTTAAGTTACAATCATGCCCTTTTCCTGATCAGTCCTTTTTTTCAAATTTTCTTTTAAAATACTGAAAATACTGAAATTATACTTCACCATCAAATTTCCACTTTATCACACACGGTATGAAATCCCCTGGTTTGTTATGTGTTAAAACAAGGATCGTTCCTTAACACATATTTGCGAAAAGAAGTGGGCCTTATAAAAGACCATCTGGAATGTCTCAGTGTTGCAAGCACGTGTTCAAAACCTTACTGAAATGCCTGGCTATCATGGACGGGCGGTGTCAAAACAAAGTCTACAGGCTCCCCTATCTTGTTTTCTTCCCCAGGTGACCCTAGGCTCGCTTTGCTGGCTAATTTTCTCTTTTGCTTCACTCCACTTGGACATACAGTCAAACCCCACTTTCAGACACCTGCATAACATGGACACCTCGTAATTACGGACAATTTTATTTGTCCCTGGGAATAGCCCATACATTTTCTCTAAATTCAACCCACTTAATACAGACATCTGTTAAAGTGGACAACAGACACTTTTCACTGTCCTAATCAACAGAAGATTTTCATAGAAAGTGAACCTCACTAATGTGGACACTTCATATTTATAAACTGTGTGCTGCAAGAGACCTTTCCTTTCTGAAGATAAAAAAAAACCTTCAGTTGACAAGATGTCAATAATTCCAGCACTACCTTACGCCAGATAAATGATTTATAGACATCTATGCCAGACTATTTTGGCATCAAATAAGTCATGCAGAGAACATACAGTTTAGGGGCTACAGATGAGAGATGTTTGAGTGTTTCCGTGGATTACATCCACGAATGACAGCTTTGTGAAGGTTGGAGATGTCTAGAATTTGACCATACCAAATTCATTTTTCATTTCTTTAGAATTTTGTTCTGAACAAAGGTGTTTTTTGACCTTAATACCACGACCTTTTTATAACACATATTACACAGATCTTAGTCTTCTGCACTGTTCACCTAAGGATGTTTACGAGATCCTGAGTGAGTTGAAACCTCATATATCACCTGGTCCGGATAGTATTCATTACTATTATCATCATTACTATTTCAAGCTTTATTGGGAAAAATTAAAACAGAATGAAATATACAAACATGAAAGAATTAAAGCCCAAAAATGAAGGGCATGAAAGGGACACTTAGACCCCTGCAGGGTGCCTACCCTAGGGAAATACAAGAATTTGAAATATATACAGAAAAATAAAATCTAGTTGTAATTAAAGAATTTAACTCAAAATTTGGCTCCACCGCTCAGTGCAAAGGGGTCCTTTGCATCAGGCATGCTACCACACAACTGGTTATTGGCTGATATTACTCCTTTACATAAGAAAGGTGCTAATACGTTCGCCAAAACTACCGCCCTGTTTCGTTAATATTGGTGGTGTGCAAAGTGTGTGAAATGATTGTGAGACAGCATTTTGTTCAGTTTTGGATAACTAATGAGATCTTTATTCCAGAGCAATTTGGCTTCCTGAAAGAGAAATCTTACCTGTCTCAATCACTACCTTTGTTCAAATATTGTTCATGTGGCACCAAGTCAAAAGCTTCTAAAAGACCCCCAAATTAAGATGACATCAGTTGTTAAGCCTTTGTTTCTCTCAGGGGCCCAATCATTGATACCCAATCAAACCAACACCAGCCAGTTGTTTTGCGGGGATATCATTCATCTTGGGCCTCTATTTTGTCTGGTGTTCGGACCCAGAGGGAACTGTGTTGGGAGCCGTTTTATTCCTCACTTATATTAACAATAGGGCCATTTAACAAGGAAAAATAAGACGTGTCTTACATAGGACGTGTCTTAAATAAGACGCGAACTTTCCGTATAAACGGCACATTTCGTCTAAAATAAGACGCGGGTTAGCTAAGACAATTTAGCATGGATGCAAATGATGCTGGGAAGGATGAACAACAAAAACTTTCTCTTCACCTTTACCATGATACCTAGCGTAGAACCAAGATCCCAGTCATTCTCGAATCAGCCAGAACACGCTTGTGTACGAGGCAGCTGTATACCAAAGCTATGAAACTTAGAGGAAATTCCTTTTACACCTGTTATAAAGCTACAAACTGTTACAGTGAGCCACCTTACAAGGACTGTCAGTTGGAACTCTTTTATAAGTTTGTTAATGTTATGCACGGCTGTGCTCTATTAACCCTTTAAGCCCCAATATCCATAAAGCAATTCTCCAAACTGATCTCCATACATTTCCTTAAAGAGGTAGTTGAGAGAATTTGATAAAAGATCAAAGCAGTTTCTCTTTAGTGATCATTTCATTAATTCTCATAACCTTATCTCTTGACAAGGTATGGATATCGTTAGGAGAAAATTGATGTTGGTCACCACTGGGGCTTTAAGGGTTAAACAGAGCCCTTTGGCCCCTGGATCCTAACTTTTGCTCTTGGGAGACTTGGAAAATCTTCCTTCTTTCACAAAATCATATGCTGGGCACCCTAGCTTAAACAGGTTCAGAGAACTGGGCGCTCTTCAATGTTCCTTAGAGCACAGCCTTGTTATGGATATTTCGATTAATTTCTGTTTCAGTTATTCGCCCGACCACACACTTAAAAATACTGCCAGGGGTAAAAAATAATCGTTATTGTTGTTTTTAATTGTGAGTAGGGACTGATCGAGCAACTGGCTTACCTTTTCTTTCTTGCCAGCAAATTCAGTTCCATAAATTTATACTTCTGATGCTGCTCATCCAAATCTTTGAGCACGGACTCGGCGGTGTCATGTCCGCTCTTTTTCATAAATTCATCAACATCCTCCTGTATGTGACGGGAAAACGAATTTGAATGGCCCGTCGGACTCAGTAAGATCATAGTTAGTACTTAAGGTAACAGTTATTTTTGTACTGAAAATCATTTCCAGTAAGCTTGTTAACTATTACTCATGCAAAAAAACTTTCCCGAGGGGAAAATACTCCAATCACATCCTCTCAAAAATTTAGGGATACACTGCTTTAGTAGTAAAATATTACCAGAAAAAGAGCCTCTGGTATTCCGCGATGCTTCTTTTTTTCGAGTTTTTCCTCGCTTTGTTCCTGTAACTTCTTCCCTTCAGATGCCATGTTTGACTGGGAGTGATTTTGGGTCCCAGTCCCTTACAAGCATTGTATAGGCGTATGAATGACGCATGAATAATAGTTCCGCTTTACCGCTGACCAAACAAGGCACAGGAAGATATCTTTTCATTAATTTTCGCTTCAAATTTTCAAGTTAGCAGCGGAAGTTTGAAAATAGCAACGTGATATCACTCTGTCGTGCTCCATGCTTGTTTCAGCAACTTATCAGGAGTAAAACGCTCCTAGAAGGGGGAAAATAGCCTTTGCTATAAGCAGTGACTTCATACGTGACTTGGATCATCCACACAACGTAGCAGAAGGTTGCAGGGACTTCCAAATTTGTTTACTAAGCACAAAGCTAACAACTGGATTTCTTTAGTAGAGTATACGTCGGTTTTATGCTACGTTGTTATAAACAGAACTTTCCGCTTTCTCTTTTTGACTGATCTGATTTAAGAGTGCCTACTCGATAAGAATTTGCCCTTCCACAATGTTGAGTGCGCAACAACACGAGTCAGGGATGATGAAGATGATGGACGAGCGATTCGATTTGCAAAGTTACAATTCACAGTCGTCATCTTACAGCTCATTTTTGAGTGATCAAGAACCTGGAAGCCACACTGGCGATAGTTTTAACGGCTTTGATCATCAAGAAGCCCATAGAATAAACAACGCGGACAAAAGAGATATGTTAGATTACGAACATGAATTTGATAGCGTGGAGAAGAGACTAAAGACTTTCACAAGGTGGCCGCTTGACAGTCCTGTAGATCCACGTGATCTAGCGGCGGCAGGATTCTATTCTTCGGAGTTTGCTCTGGACGATCTAGTTGTGTGCTTCAAATGTGATCTGCATCTAAAGCAATGGAAACCTGGGGATGATCCCTGGAAAGAGCACAAACAACGTAATCCAGATTGCCCTTTTATTCGCGAATGGGAAACTGAAAATGGTATTTCAGTAATCGATGGCCCAATTGCACCCTCTTCTAAATATCAAAACCTTCCAAGATATCAACATTTGAATCATCAAGAAGAACCCCAGTACGGTGATACAATATCATCATCTTATCTTGATCGTAACGGAGTGCCATACTCTGAGAGGCCACCATATTTTACAGCAGGGGAGTATAGTTACCCAGAGCAACCTTATTACCCAGCTAGGGAGCGAGACTTTCTTCGAAGTAATTCTAACCAGTTTCAACTCCCCGAGCAACAGAGAGAAGGCACTGAAACTAATAGTCATTTTTTCGTGCGACAAGGATCTAGCCAGGTACACATACTTGGATCAGGAGTAAAAGTCTATCAGCTTGACCCTAAAGATAAATTAGTTATTCATTCTGGAAGCCAAGGCAACCACTTGCAACAGATTGGATCAGTGAGGTACCCAGAAGTAAATCGATTCCCCTCCAACTTTGGAACAAGTTTTACAGTTCCAAGGGAGCATATTCAGCACAGGGTACCAAGAACAGAGGAGCAGACATCCGGCAGATATTATCCACCTGGATCATCAGTTTCTACGAGCAAGAGCGAGCAGTTTGAAAACCAGACTGGATATGAGTACTCCATTGAAGAAAGCTTTCATGAAGGAAAACAAACTGCTGGGTTTCAGAGAAGTGTCAGCCACAGCATTGCCCTGCCTCAAGAAGAAAATGCAAAGTATGCACTGCAGCGGGATAGAAGCCAGAGTGAGGGACAACTAAGATATATGAATACCATGTATAAGACAAGTGCACCAAACCAACCACCATTTTCTCAAAACATATCTGGACAGACACCGTACAAACTGCACAGAGCAGAGCAAACAATTCCTAACGAGGAAGAATTGATACAGGAAAATTGTTCTCGACAGTATCCTGAGGCAAGGGAAACTGGTCCTCACCGACCCCCTGTGGAGACCAACAATTGGCAATCTTCCCATGGTCCCACTGGTCAAGGATCAAAACGACCCACCCTATTTGTTGCCCGTCCTGTAGTGGATCCAAGCCTGCAGCCCAGACAACAGCCGTTGATAAGGCATGAGGATGCGCGCCATATTTCATCGCCTGCTGACCTTGCAAGCGAGCATCATCGTCTCACCACATTTGTTGATTGGCCCCATGACCATCCAATCAGACCTTTGGACTTGGCGGCAGCTGGGTTTTACTACCTGGGAAGAGATGATTGTGTCAAATGCTACAGGTGTGGTGTAGGTTTGAATAACTGGGAGCCCACAGACACCCCATGGGGCGAGCATCAAAAGCATAATCCTGCATGTCCACTTGTCTTGGAGTATTTTTCTGGCCGATTGTCTCTACGTGAACACCCTGCCCCCAGGCAAAACACAACAACTGAAGATCGTTTTACAACTCCCCAAGAGTCATTCCAGTATCGACATCCCCGACACAGCCATGATCTTCAGGATCGACAGGTAGTAATAATAGTAACAACTACTATTTCAAAGACGAGCTATTTTTAGTCTTCCAAGTAGACTAGTCACATAAAATGGTCCCTGAATTTGAATGATAATCCTTACACATCCAAAGCCTCATTTATTTGAAAAACTCCTTTGTTTTCTGAAATTAATTCAGGGCCCAAGGTGTGTAATTATTGCCATTCTGATACTGGGGCCATTTATGCAAAATTTAATGGTCTGTGAAATAAAATCAGTTCTTGTCTTTTAACACCCAGGAAAACTACCGTAATCAGCCCATCAAAATGTTCAGCTTGAAGTAGCGACGAAGATTGATTATTAAGTCACAAGATAAAGACATAAAAAAAGTTAGAAAAAAATAGAGCTTTACTTTACAATTGGCCATTTCAGAGTTGCGTAGGGAACTGTGGCAAGTTTCAAAGTTAAACTAATCGATAAACTGACACCACCATATAAAAGGTCATGTTGAGATTGGTTATTTGACCAAGTTTGAGTGCTCTAAGGTTGAACAGGGATCAATCTCTTGAAACATGGTTAAAGATCCATACAAACGTCTGTAATTTTGTGACAGCATCCCCCAAAACCATATAAACTCTTTAAATATTTTTCAGTTTTTCTGTTAAACTTTAAAATTTGTCATGTATCTACTACTTGGAAGGAACTAATTTGAAAACCACTATGTTTGCCCATTTTCAGGAATATCACAGAAATCGTGAAAAACATAAAGAGTTTATATGGTTTTGGCAAAACGTAGGAAAAAATAGACACCAAAAAATTTAAGAAAAATTCAAAACCCAAAACGTTCAAAGCAGGAAATAATGTACTTTATGCTAGCGTTAATGTATATACCACCAAATTACTAATTGAGGATTCTTCAGCCCCCGAAATGATCCCGACCTCGAAATGATCCCAAACCCTAAAATGATCACCAAATCAACACTGAAATGACACCAACCCCAAAATGATCCCCATTTCTCTTCACGTCGACCCCGAATTGATCCCAAATTAATTCTTGGAATGGAATGATATCCTAGAACTATGGATCGATTAAAATACACAACATTAACTTAAGTTTCACTAATAATCTTTACTTGCCCACATTCTTTAATGACATTAATTTGGGATTACACTTTGAATTGGATTGAACGAAAATTTTATTTAATACACAAAGTCTACTATATTTTTAGTAACACCATGAACTGCAACTGACAACATCAAGAAACATAACACTTTTTATTATTATTACTTGGGTGATTATAGCTCGGGTTGTAGAGAAAACTGCATGGGTGTTTAAAACACCATTTTTAAAATTCAGTATCCAAGGCATGCAGTTTACATCATTTTTAGAATTTTTGACTGCATGCCTTGAATACTGAATTTTAAAAGTGGTGTTTTAACACCTTTTAAAATTTTAAAATGTTGTTGAAGATGCAAAAGTAGACATAAAGGCGAGTAGATGACAAAAGCGCTAAAAAATCCCATAAACCGTAGTGAAATGTTAAATGCGATTCAAGAACGTAAACGCTGCAACAGACTTGTAATAATTCCGTGATGGAATACCATTCCTTTCCGAGAATTAAGTTGGGGCTCATTTCGTTTTTGGGATCATTTCGGGGGCTGTACAGGACACTATTCTTACGTCTTCTATCGCGGGAGACTGGACCGCCATTTTATGTTATCATCCGAGCCACGCGAAGGTGTAGTCGTTTGTTGGGAAAGTACTTTCATTTCTCAGTTATTTTAAGACTCTGAATAATTGGTTCGGTCCTGGGAATCGAACCCACGACCTCCCGCTCTGCAGTCAAGCGCTCTACCGACTGAGCTAGTCCTGTCATGGGAATACTAAACTCCTTGAATAAACTTATCACCCTCAGGTGCCAATCAGGAGTGGTGATTTACCTGTTCATGCCACTTGGGGTAGATCAGAGTCCTACCCACCTGCTGCGGTTTCTAGAGTTGTGAGGCAACAGAATCAGCAACACCCGTACTGGACTACGCAGCCTATGACCACCTCACAAGAGGAGGGTTATATGACCAGCAGACGCCAGTCGGGTTCAAGCAACAGCGAATCTGGTTCAACCCAGAAACAGCGATCTTGTTCTCCCAGAGGCAGCGCTGCACTGGAATTTGACATGGAAAAACTCGCCGAGATGGGTTTCACGCAACAGCAAGTAAACGATGCAATCGAAGAACGATTAGAAGCGACTGGCTCAACGTTTCCGACCTACACGGAGCTTGTTTCTGCTCTTTTGGAGAAACAAGCTCAGCAACAGCTAAGCCTTCAGACGTGTTCGCAAACAACGCAGCAGAGATGCGAACCTGCGTCTCCTCCTCCTCCCCGTCTAGCTATCCCCACAGATATCACAAGTTCCCTTTCGAGGGATAACCACTTCTTCCCGGAGAGGAATTGTGTTAGTGCCGTGACGTCACCGACCACTACAGCTCCCGACGTAAACAGTCTACGCCGATCTTTCAGTACACCGGCGCGGAGTCCTTCCGAATCAGGCGAAGAATCACTCGAGGAAAAACTGGAAAGAATGCAGGAGGAACGCCTGTGTAAGATTTGTATGGACGCCGAGGTAAGCATGGTGTTTCGTCCTTGCGGTCATTTGACTTGCTGCGTGGATTGTGCTAGCGGGGTAGAGTTATGCCCCATGTGTCGAGCGCCTATACGGGAGAAGTTTCGTACCTATTTGTCTTGAACACGGTCATCGCCGCGCATTCAAGTCCTGTGGCTCCACCAGTCCCACCAGTCCATTGCTATAATATGAAGATCACCGGTTCTGGGCTTGGTCAACACTCTTCCGTCACCAGGTCACGTTCGTGTCCAACATCGGGCAGGGTGAGTCGGTAATTTTTACCCACTGTTGTGAGATTTAAACTTTTCTCAAAGGAACAGTAACTGTTGTCACCTCTGAGCCAGCCGTTCCTGAACTAACAAGCTGCGTATTACTTCTATTCTTAATTATATTATTAAGCTCTGTGAAGAATTCTAGCAGGTCTTTTTTCTCTGTAGTTGGATGGACATAAGATATTTATTCCCTTAGTTACACATATACACCCAAAAGTTAAATTATGACGAAATGGGTATTCTTAAGCTGAAATAAAACTTTTTGTTCCGACTGGGAACGAACTCTTGTCGAAAGAAGTAGAGTGTAGATGATCCCATTTGCTAGTTTTGACAGTTTTTCGTGCCATATTCGGCGTGAAGTAGCTGTTTTGTTAAATGAAGTAGAAACGTATCGGAAACTGTAGAGTTCGTCTTACAACAAAATGTAGAAATAGTTTGACACTTTTGAAGGATCGCTGAAACGTAAGGGCTTTTACAGAAGAAACGGTAGTTCCTGTTAGGGTGATAAAAAGGTGGTCACTGGTTATATATATGGTGATTTCAATTAGCGTAAACTGCCCCTATGCGATTACAAGCCCCCTTCCAGATATAAACCCCCCTCCAAATTTATTGAAATAAATTCGATTCATTATGACGTTTTGAAGCTTAATTAAAAACCATTAAATGCAACAGGTATTTTGATTAGCACTGCTATTACTCGTTTCGAAGGGCTTTTTCTATTCCGTTTTTAAGCTCTCTCGGATACAAGCCACTCCGTTTGTAAGCCGTCTTAAAACCCCTTATGAAGGTGCATAAGCCGAGCGCTTTTAAGCGGCAGTTTACGGTAATTTATTCTAGATACTTCTCTTGCGATTTCACTGTTCTTATAAAGGTTGAAAGATCCTTATATACAAACTTCAAAATAACAAGATAACAAGTTGATAGATTATACTGATAGAACACTCATACACCTACCGTGAAAGAGGGTGTGACTTTCAAATTATTTCGCTACAACATCCTCTCGTTATCTTGCAGAATTGCTGAAACATACTCAAAAGTCAAATATGTTATTGTCTAGTAAGGTTAAAACGGTAATTATAGTTCATAGTCTTAAGAAATAAAACTAATGTTTTCAAATATACAGCAAGTAGACAGAAAGTACAAATGCTATTATTTTACTACAGCAGTTTATGATTTCGCAAATTAGCAAATAGCTTGCGTGCAGACCTCTCCTATTTCCTTCATTGCTTGTGGAAGTCTATGAAAATATATAGGAGATATATTAGCAACGGACGAATAAAGTTCTTTTTGCGCCATGCTGGTCGTTGTTAAAATTCGCTAGTTTCACTAACCTTATTGCTGTATTTGACGTCTTCAATCCAAAAACGCGGTAATTTTGAGTGATCTCACAGCCTCCTTTCCATTGAATGAAAACACGCTCACTTTTTAGCACGGTAAAAAAGTACGCTCTGCAGGGACGATTCGCGCACTTGCCTTGGTTACCGGTTGCATGTACTCAATTAATTTATCAGCAAACTCATCGGGGGCCCAGTTGTTCGAAGGCCGATTAGCGCTTAGCCCTGGGTTAAATTTAACCCGAGTTTCTTTTTCTTCTGTTCAAAAGCATTTTCTCGGATAATTTTCTCTTTTATTTTTAGAGCTTCCAATCATCAACCTGTAGACAAAAAGAATAAAACTGAAATGCTTTTTAAGCTTTCAAATCTGAATTCAAATCTCGCACTAACCCTGGTTTATCTTAACCCAGCTTTGAACAACTGAGCCCAGTTCCGTTTTTGTGAGGAACTTATTTTTCTTCCCTCTAACTTTTCCTCTCTTGTCTGCTGTTTGTTTTCCACGGGGTTTTTTGGTAGTTTGCTTTTTCGTACTTTTTTTCGGGCGCCGGCCTGGAACCATTCCTTTTCGGATGACGAAGTATCCTCTTGCTCTGAAAACTCGCTCGAAAAGTCACTTAAATCTGTTTCAGAAATTTCGTATTCCTCTTCGTCTTTCTCGTCAATAAAAAACCTCCTGTCATCATTTACAAAGTTGCATTCCTCAACAAAAACTATTTCATCTCATAGAGTGGCCATTGTTATGTTGGGTTAAGTAAAAACACACGAAACGACTCCAAGGTCTGCTGTCCTCTAATTGGGCAGAAAAACACAAAAGTTTCCTGGCACCAATTAGAAGACAGAACCCCCGCGACCGTTTGAAACTGGCCTGGTAAAACATTGCCCCGTGGGCTCTCCTCCCAGTTTTTTACTTTTTTTCGCGCCAATTTTTTCCGTCCATGTAGACTTTCTCTCGCCTCCACTATCACCCTTGGGTCTTCGAGGATGTCCGTAACCTGTGGTTATTACTAGTTTTAAAATCTTTTCTAATTCATCCTCTCTTGATCGAGTCTATTACAGGTTCATAAGGTTAACCTTTCCCCCAAAGTTATCATATTATGTACCGGACGGAGAGCGTGATGTAATTCAGCATGTGAACCAAAATACCCTGCGAGCAGAGGCCCTTCGATCTTCCTAGATAAGTCAGGAGGAGGAAGGGACTTCCCGACTTATCCAGGAAGATCGCAGGGCCTCTGCTCGCAGGGTAGAACCAAAATAAAGGAAGCAGCAAAGAAAAGTACGCCTTCAGTTTTTCAGAATTTAGTCTTAAAATTTAACGGCGGCTTGCAACAGCCAAATGTTTCCAAATGCTTCGGCAGTGTCTCAAATGGTTTTCTCTATGCTTTAGAAACCCGTTTTGTTGTACACATTTGATTTCTGTTTTCTTGATATACTGTGATAGTATGCGTTTTTGAAAACTAACGAGTTTGTACCCCCTTCCCCCACCACCCCCCCCCCCAAAAAAAATGGTTTTATACTACATGTATTTCATTCCTACCTACCCATAAAGGTCACCTCTCAATTTTATTCAGATTTCCTTTAAATTCGAGGACGAGATCTAGCTTGAATTTTTTTTGCGTATTCTCAAGAAAAAAGATACCCCGGAAATATTTTTTTTAATCAGAAGTACGATTTTTTATAGTCAAATGGAATTTTAAGAGATTTTTATGATGTTTAGACAATAATCTTTCGAAAAATCCAGTTGTCATGTTTTTTGGCCTCGGTTATGCCACATGAAATGTCAAACACTACTAAGTGCTTACTGTCGTTATAGTTTGTTTGAACTGAAGAGAAATATGTAAACTGAACGAAACACTTACATTGTCTAGTAAATAAATTTCCATTTTGAATCAGTTTGAAGGTGTTTGCATTCAATTTGTTGCACAGGCCGAGAATCCCGCTTCTATGCAAATTATGTGATTAGTAAAAAAAAAGGGATAAATCAGACTTTTTAGAAAAAATTTCGAGATTTTTAGAGATGAAATTGGGATTTATAGATATTTTTTGGAGAATTTCCGGATAGATTTTAGGCCAGTTTTTGGAATTTTTGTATAGCTTTTGTATCTAGGGCTATCACTACGACAATTCCCTGAACCTCGAATTAGAATGACGACCGTTAACTCGTTTTACAGCCAAAATGACGCTGGTTCACGCGCGCGCACTACTTAGTATTGAGAAATTCTCGTTCTTGTATTCCTCCTCGTCTTAGAATCTAAAGGCCTCGAAATTTAGGATGACAACGTCATCCTCGGAGATCCAGGGGCATAAAGTTGAGTCGGGGGAAAATGCAAGACGAAAGTTTTCAATCGTGGGGCTCTTCCGCTTCCGATAGTTAGGAAAGGCAGCCATTATTTTGCGACTTTATCAAGATGCAGTCAAGACAGGCGGTTGAAGTAAAGGAAAAAGTAGTAAAAGAAATTTTTTAGTCAATTTGGCCTGATAGCAGATGGTCTAATTTAAAACAAACGAGCCGTAACCAACTGTTTTAGAATTAATAGAACAAACAAACAACTAGACAAACCACACGCTTATTACAGAGTTTCAAAAACAATATATTGTACATATCTCTTAATAATAATAATTAGTAAGATTGTTAAAGTCTAAGAAGGCGACTGCTACCTTTCCTCTAGGTAAAAAAATATTCGTTAAAATATTTTTAGAACAGTACGCATGCAGTGTGCGGCCTACAATTCAGGGAAGATATTAAGAGCCATGAAGGCTGAATTGTATTTCGTTGCCACCGTTCACTACATTTAAGAACCAATCATCCTGTCGTAAAATTGAAGGTGAAATGCTACTGGTTAAAAAACCCGTGCATTCATTTCTAAATAAACTCTCTGAATCCCCCCCAAAATCGGCGCATGTCCAAATAACTCTACGTGTATATAAAAATAAGGGCTTGTTATCAAACGAACCGAGGTAATAGACCTTTTTGCCGATACGGCGGCCATATTGAATTAATTCGATTTAAGGAGTATTATAGGATGCCCAGGGGGCATGAGCACATTTCGTTTTTGTTTTCGAGAGCTTTTCGGGACATTTTTTCTTAAAGTTTTCTAAGAATAAGATTGTAATGGGAAAAAAGATCCTTGTGTCGTGTTTGGATGTAATAATGATCGCCTTTTTCTAGTTTAGTATTAGAAATATGGTCTTTCACTGTATATTTCTCGGGAAAAAGGCGATCATTATTAGATCCAAACATCGCACAAGGATCTTTTTTCGCATCAGGCTAGGCTAGGGTCCCTGTCCTTACAGTAAATTAAAAAAGTGAACGCGCAGGGAACGATAGGATGGGTAAAAGAGCGGGAAACGACAACAAGCTGCCCGTCCCATCGATCGCAACGCGTTTCCTTTTTCCTTTTCCTTTTCCTCAATAGAGACCTTTAGATTTTCTCAAGAAAAGTTAGCACGGTTATTTTTACTTGTTCCCGCCACAACTATATTCTAAAACTCGCAGTAAAATGATTATGGCTGTCGCGTTTTCCTTCCAAAATGACGCTAGTTCACGCGCGAGCTTTATTAGTATTGAGAAAATCTAGTCCTCGTTTTAGAATGTGATATTCGTGCGTTTTACAGCCTTTGCATGGTGGGACACAAATAGGACTCTGCTGAGGGCGACACTACATGCTATAACTGAATACTATTCATGGTGACTATGTTTAAGTCAACGATAACTTACAAGGAAAACAGCTTTCAATGTCACAGCTGTACACGCTACTAGACACAGGGAATAACGTGAGTAGTATTAGTCTTTCAACTCAGTGATAGCAAAACTTATCTGGTCTCTGTCATTGTTTTTATGACACAAGCCATTGGGTAAATGAACAGCACGGTTTACCCCGCAAACCGGAACCTTAGCGATAACTATAGTATATTCCATTGCGTATTTTATCTCATGCCTTAGAGATTGACATATTTTAACGCATAATCCTTCCCTACCGCATCTCCCAAGAACAGGAACGTTTTCTTGACTAGATGTAATCCTCAGTTTTCACTCTTTCCGCCGGCGAAATCCCGCCAGCTCTAGTGCCCAGTCTATACTCGGTATCAAGAGGAAGATATATGTTTCCGTCCACAACAACTAGTCAACTTTGTTTTGTAGCTGAATCTTTGGTTCTTCACCATTTTTACTGTTGGTGTCACTTGACACACAGAAATCCCTTGACACTTCCAAGAAACACGTCTAGACTTTTCCTGAATTGCATTCTGTTGACTCTGTCCAAAGATAACTTCATGTCGCTTGGTGTCAGTTGATTAAAGGCATCCAAAAGACGCTGACATACAACTTGGTCCGTCTGCTGCGCAAGAAGATTGCGAACTAACTGCGTGTAATACAACTAAAATGAAAAAAAGATTTCACCCAGTTCCGTTTTTGTGAGGAACTTATTTTTCTTCCCTCTAACTTTTCCTCTCTTGTCTGCTGTTTGTTTTCCACGGGGTTTTTTGGTAGTTTGCTTTTTCGTACTTTTTTTCGGGCGCCGGCCTGGAACTATTTCTTTTCGGATGACGAAGTATCCTCTTGCTCTGAAAACTCGCGCGAAAAGTCACTTAAATCTGTTTCAGAAATTTCGTATTCCTCTTCGTCTTTCTCGTCAATAAAAAACCTCCTGCCATCATTTACAAAGTTGCATTCCTCAACAAAAACTATTTCATCTCATAGAGTGGCCATTGTTATGTTGTGTTAAGTAAGAACACACGAAACGACTCCAAGGTCTGCTGCCCTCTAATTGGGCAGAAAAACATAAAAGTTTCCAGGAACCAATAGGAAGCCAGAACCCCCGCGACCGTTTGAAACTGGTCTGGTAAAACATTGCCCCATGGGCTCTCCTCCCAGTTTTTCACTTTTCTTCGCGCCAATTTTTTCCGTCCATGTAGACTTTCTATCGCCTCCACTATCCGCCCTTGGGTCTTCGAGGATGTCCGTAACCTGTGGTTATTACTAGTTTTGAAATCTTTTCTAATTCATCCTCTCTTGATCGAGTCTATTACAGGTTCATAAGGTTAACCTTTCCCCCAATGTTATCATATTATGTACCGGATGAAGAGCGTGATGTAATTCAGCATGTGAACCAAAATAAAGAAAGCAGCAAAGAAAAGTACGCCTTCAGTTTTTATGAATTTAGTTTTAAAATTTAACAGGGGCTTGCAACAGCCAAATGTTTCGAAATGCTTCGGCAGTGTCTCAAATGGTTTTTTCTATGTTTTGGAAACCTGTCTTGTTGTACCCATTTGGTTTCTGTTTTCTTGGTATACTGTCTTAGTATGCGTTTTTGAAAACTAAAGAGTTTGTACCCCCTTCCCCCAACCCCCCAAAAGAAATGGTTTTATACTACATGTATTTCATTCCTACCTACCCATAAAGATCACCTCTCAAATTTATTCAGATTTCCTTTAAAATCGAGGACCAGGTCTAGCTTGAATTTCTTTTGCGTATTCTCAAGAAAAAAGATACCCCGGAAATATTTTTTTAAATCAAAAGTACGATTTTTTATAGTCAAATGGGATTTTAATAGCCTGAATTTCATCCGATTACTTCAAGTCGTTTTTACTCCCTCAGTAGGAGAAAACGACTCGAAGCAATCAGATGAATTTCAGGCTAGGACTTTTAAGAGATTTTTATGATTTTTAGACGATAATGTTTAAAAAAATCTAGTGGTGATGTTTTTTTTCCTCGGATATGCCACATGAAATGTCAAACACTTCTAAGTTCTTATTGTCGCTATCGTTTGTTTGAACTGAAGAGGAATATGTAAACTGAACGAAACACTTACATTGTCTAGTAAATAAATTTCCATTTTGAATCAGTTTGAAGGTGTTTGCATGCAATTTGTTGCACAGGCAAAGAATCCCGCTTCTATGCACATTATGTGATTATTAAAAAAATGGGATAAATCAGACTTTTTAGAAAAATTTTCAAGATTTTTAGAGATGAAATTGGGATTTATAGACATTTTTTGGAGAATTTCCAAATAGATTTAAACCATTTTGTGGAATTCTTGTATCTAGGCCTATCACTACGACAATTCCCTAAACCTCGAATTAGGATGATGACGGTTATCGCATTTTACAGCCAAAATGACGATGGTTCACGCGCGCGCACTACTTAGTATTGAGAAATTCTCGTTCTCGCATTCCTCCTCGTCTTAGAATCTTAAGGCCTCGAATTCTAACTATAGCCGATGACAACGTCATCCTCGGAGATCAAGGGGCATACAGCTGAGTCCGCTTCCGATAGTTAGGAAAGGCAGCCATTATTTATTTTGGTTGCTTTGTTAAACAAGTTGGTATGTTTTATTGCGACTTTATCAAGATGCAGTCAAGACAGGCGGTCGAAGTGAAAGAAAAAGTGGTAAAAGAGTTTAAGGGGGACGCTATAAATTTAGCCTGATAGCAGATGGTCTAATTTAAAACAAACGAGCCGTAACCAACTTTTTTAGAATTAATAAAACGAACAAACAATTAGACAAACCACACGCTTATTACACAGTTTCAAAAACAATATATTGTACATATCTCTTAGTAATAATAATTAATAAGATTGTTAAAGTCTAAGAAGGCGACTGCTACCTTTCCTCTAGGTAAAAAAATATTCGTTAAAATATTTTTAGAACAGTACGCATGCAGTGTGTGGCCCGCACTTCAGGGAAAATATTAAGAGCCATGAAGGCTGAATTTTATTTCGTTGCCACCGTTCACTACATTTAATAACCAATCATCCTGCCGTAAAATTAAAGGTGAAATGCTAGTCGTTAAAAAAACCGTGCATTCATTTCTAAAAAAAACGCTCTGAATACCCCCAAAATCGGCGCCTGTCCAAATACCTCTACGTGTATATAAAAATAAGGGCTTGTTATCAAACGAACCGAGGTAATTGGCTTTGGCGAGGGTAGAAGCTAAAGAACTTACCTCGTTCCCAGGGTCCTCTCTTACTCGTCCCTCACCCTCAGGAAAAAAAAAGGACAGAGGGGCAGATAAAGAGAAGAACCTGGGAACGAGGTTGCTAAACAACTCGGACTGAACTAGGTCTCTCTCAGCCTAGTCCTTAGGCGTTCTCTCTTGTCCCGTTGTACGCGCGAAGTCTGAGAAAGAGCGGGCGAATCTCTCTCAGTAACGTCACAGCTCACGGTAGAGTCCAGGATTGACCGAGCCAAGAACTCCTGGGGACGAGGCTAGGCTAGGGTCTCTCTCCTCACAGTAAATGGAAAGTGAACGCGCGGGGAACTATGGGATGAGTAAAACAGCGGGAAACGACAACAAGCTGCCCGTCCCATCGATCGCAACACGTTTCCTTTTTCCTTTTCCTCAATAGAGACCTAAAGATTTTCTCAAGGAAAGTTAGCGCCGTTATTTTTACTTGTTCCCGCCACAACTATATTCTAAAACTCGCAGTAAAATGATGATGGCTGTCGCGTTTTCCTGCCAAAATGACGCTAGTTCACGCGCGAGCACTATAAGTATTGAGAAAATCTAGTCCTTGTTTTAGAATGTGATATTCGTACGTTTTACAACCTTTACATGGTGGGACACAAATAGGACTCTCCTGAGAGCGACACTACATGCTATAACTGAATACTATTCATGGTGACTATGTTTAAGTCAACGATAACTTACAAGGAAAACAGCTTTCAATGTCACAGTTGTACACGCTACTAGACACAGAGAATAACGTGAATAGTATTAGACTTTCAACTCAGTGATAGCAAAACTATTCTGGTCTCTGTCATTGTTTTTATAAAACAAGGCTATTCGGTAAATGAACAGCCATTTAACCGCGCACCGAAACCTTAGCGATAACTAAAGTATATTCCAATGCGTATTTCATCTCATGCCTTAGAAATAGACATATTTTAACGCATCATCCTTCCCTTCCGCATCTCAAAAACAGGAACGTCATACCAGCGAAGAAGACGACGTTTTCTTGACGAGATGTAATCCTTAATTTTCACTATTTCCGCCGGCGAAATCCCGCTAGCTCTAGTGCCCAGTCTATACTCGGTATCAAGAGGAAGATATACGTTTCCGTCCACAACAACTAGTCAACTTTGTTTTGTAGCTGAATCTTTGGTTCTTCACCATTTTCACTGTCGGTGTCACTTGACACACAGAAATCCCTTGACACTTCCAAGAAACACGTCTAGACTTTTCCTGAATTGCATTCTGTTGACTCTGTCCAAAGACAACTTCATGTCGCTTGGTGTCAGTTGATTAAAGGCATCCAAAAGACGCTGACATACAACTTGGTCCGTCTGCTGCGCAAGAAGATTGCGAACTAACTGCGTGTAATACAACTAAAATGAAAAAAAGATTTCTTGATGTGGTGCGATTTTAACATACGATTCTTACGTTCGCTACAACCAGAAATGTTAAGAAACGTTAAGACACTCGACGAAAAACCGGCCGTTTTCACTTCACTGCTGGTCTCACATCTGTGAGATAAAACAATCACCTCCTTCCTCCCTCCCCTCCATTCAAAGTTGTTCCTCCAAATTTTGAGCATAATCTCGTATTACTTGCAACTCTGATAAGGAGAGTACGGGGATCACAAGCACAAGAAGCCCTGAAAAGCCCCATAAGGGGAGAGGATAATTATATTTATAACAATATAAAAAAGTGAGTTATTACCTGGTGACAGCAAATCAAGGCAAGGAAAGCTTCGGCTGCTGGTTGAAGTAGATCCATGTTAAACGACTGGAAAAGCAGCATGTCAAACAGAGTCTGAAACAAAACAACCAGATATTTATTGAACCACGTGGAAAATACTCTGATATGATGCATTCAAATAATAGAGTGATTTAGCAACAGAAAGGGAACGTCATTTGACGACGGGATGACAACAGTAACGGACTGAACGCCACTTCCGGCGCCCAATTTACCGCTCTGTCATTGGTCAAACCGGTTTTTTTTTCCCGCTAAATCTGCCCAAGAGGACATTTAATAGTATTTTACAGTTGTTTGCTCAGTGCACTGGCCTTTTCCTGGAAGCGAGGCTGGAGGTGAAGTTGTTATCTTACAAAATTTCCTGTAATTCAACTGCAAATCATGTTATTCTCATGCTAATAAGACCGTGAACATCACAATTTACATGTGAAAAACAGGAAGGTTTGTACCAAAACAGGCAACCTCCAGCCTTGCTTCCATTCAAAGGCCAAGGCATTGAGCTCACAACTGTGAACCCGCCAACCAATTTAAGAGCCTTGACCAATCACAATAGCAGCAAACAATCCGAGCCAATCGCAACTCGGAGCTAATACATGTGACTTGCACCAATGGCGGGAAAACGCCAACTGCTACCAAGTCATAAAATGACGGCAAAATCAGCGTAAAAATTGCCACATTTGTCGTGCTTACTCGAAATGAGGACGAGAGGAGATTAGACACAAGAAAGGCAGGAAGTTTTGGGTCGCACTAGGGTGGCAAAAACCCCCCAAAATATTAACATTCACCATATTCACTTGTTTTCAATCTCCTCTTTATCTTTAATGAATTATATGACAAACTGTGACAATTCTACCGTTTGAATAAACCTCGTACCTTCAGGAAATGCTGTAAAATCTCGTGAGTGGGAACTTTGACGTTTTTCTGTATTTCAAGGAAACAATGCGTTGCTAATGACGATAACGCCTCTAGGGACATTTTAGTGACGTCAGGATCGTAACTATAGTACCAGTCAAGGTAAAGATCTGCTTAGGATTTTTTAAAAACTGCAACTGGAGTTGGCAAGCGACTGTTTCGTTCCTAGGCGCCCCTCCTTGTTCTTCTCTGCAATTTTTGTCTTAGAGCGATACTGAATCCTGGGGACTACATACGGCGTGCAAACAAGGTACGCTGTAATATTTTACCTTCAATCCAAAAAGGATATCTTTAGCCTCTACTCCACAAGTATATAATTCGCTATTTAATTCTTCAAATTGCTTTGTATGTTTATAAACACTGTGGGAGCTTTATATTCAAGAAAAATTCCGGTTGAAAATTTCTGAAATTCCACGTGCCCAATGGAACGGTACAATCCGGTTGCACAGACCCGACCCAAGCCACCGCGTGCTTGGTTATTTGCAGAAGAGCGGCTCTGGGGGGCAACAATTTTGTCAAATGGATAGGGACATTTCGGTCCGATCGATCACCTTTGTGGACCACGTTCAAAAGGGGTCCCAAATACTCCAGTCGGACCTAACCGAAATAGTGCGTTCCATTTGATTTCGAACCGAAATTTCCGGGATTTTGCGCTGAATAGAAAGCGCCCTATGTATCCTAAAGTGAAAGAAAAAAAGGAGGTTAACGCAAAGTTTGGACTGATAAAACGGCCATGATCGAACAATCCAAACTTTGGCCTTATGGGAATAGGTGTTGTGAAATACAAGCCAAAGAATTAATCGGTTAACTTCGTGTGTTTGACCTCCAACAATAGAAAACGTTTTACATAACTGTCAAGAATTCTCCCAACCCCTCGAAAAAATGTTTTGTAAAGATTTTCCAAGTTTCAGCCGACGAGGGAGTGGGTAAATAAAGTACACTTGTCGAGCTTTCAACTCAAAAACCTTTTCAAATTCGTGGTTGCGTGATTAGCGCGCGAAAAGCAAAACATCTTGACGTCACAACCATGCTTACATACTCTCATCATGGATCCATGCTCTCATGCAAACAAGCCTCTTGGCCAATCAGAGAGCGCGTACTATCTTAGTTATTTTATAAAGGATACTTTGCCAGTCCCATTTCGAGTGAAGCCATCAAGCTTTTAAACAGAGCTTCTGGAAGAAGGCACATCTTTTCAGGGTACATATCACAAACGTTTGTCGTCAGTTTGAAGAACTCTGAACATACCACTGGAAACTAAGAATAGAAAAACGTTACTTGTTACAGCATGTTGAAATAAAGCACGTGTTGTTATCAGTTTGCCTCGAAAGTTTTACTCCAATTACAAGCCCCTCTTCCTAACTTCCCGGATATACCCCAACCTAAAGCTACTCTTTAAAGCACAGGGCTTACAATTAGGATTTAACTTAGCTTGATTTAGGGGGTGTTTATATGATACCGGAATGACTTTCATTCCGGAAGTGGGTTTCGTTCCAGCGTGAAGTTAGTGCTACATTCACATGATAGCGGCTCGGCCTGAGGTGTGCTCAGGCGCTAGCGCCGTTTTCGCGAGAGATCTGATACGCATGCGCCACACTACACGATTTGCGATCGGAACGAAGTTCGTTTTCAGGTTACATAATACCAGAAAGAAATTTCCTACCAGAACTACAATTTTATTTTGACTGAAAACCGGAATGACTTGTACGGGAACGAAATGTCGTTTCAGCATCGTATAAAAAAAAAAAACAGAGAAATATATGGGGTTGGAATAAACTCGTTCCAGAATGAAAGTCATTCCAGTAGCATGTGAATAGTGAGTGCCTTATTCGCCGGAAAAAGCCACACGAAATTCAAGTTAGGAATATGTTTAGAAGGGCAAGGGTGGCGAGGGTTCAAATCCTGGCGTCAAAGTCTTATATTGGTTGAGTTACCGTAAAATTCCGAAAACAAGCCCCTCCATGTATAAGCCCTTCCAATATAAGCCCCCCAAACCGGTAACGAAAAAAAACCGCCTTTAAATCGCCTCTCCAAATATAAGCCCCCCGGGGGCTTGTACTTGGAAAATTGCGCTCAAATACAAAGTAAAACAAAGCAAAAACGGTAAATTTACTTCCAACTATAAGGCTAGCCTAATCGATTTTGAAAAGTAAATTTCCCCCCTAGATAAGCCCCTCCAAATATAAGCCCCTCCACAAATAAGCCCCTCAAAATAAGCCTTTGAAAAATATAAGCCCCGGGGCTTATTTTCGGGACTTTTATGGTAGTTGTTGGTCCTTTCCTTCGCTCCAAGAGGTTTTTCTCCGGGAACTCCGGTTTTCCCCTCTCCTTAAAAACCAAAACTTCCAAATTTCAATTCTCGGTCAGGAACGCGCGGACACGTTTCAACGAGAGCTACGTGGCCAAAAAAATTATAAGTTACAAATTTTCTCCTTTCTTAAACGCGATCAAAGTGAAATAAAACAAAAAAAGAGACTAAGGATCTCTGCGCAAAAATATTCCTCGGGTTGTTTGCTTTGGGTTTAGACTAATTTAAACTTGTACAAACACTCCGATTACAGTCAACACATTGTGGAGACTAAAGAAGTACACTTACCATTAAAACATCTGACGACATGAGCGGTATAATAACATGAAGACCATAAAGTGCCAAATCAGCCGCTGACACGTGGGTTTTCTCTTGATCTACAAATTAATTGAAAATCATCACAAAAAGTTATTTTTTATAAGCCAGGAAAACGAATTGCATGTACAAGGTTGTATTAGTCAACCGAGCAAAGACGACGGTACATTCTACCACAGGCTACCCACAATCCGTGTTAACCTACCTGTGCTAAAATCAAGGAAGTCCTTCGACAGCACACTCGCAAGGAGTTTTATCAACAAAAGAAGATCGTTTAACTGTTCCTCTTCTGTAAGGGCCTCCCTGCTGACTTTCCCTGAAACAAGACAACAAATTCACCCCTTGAGAAAGATGATTTTTCAGTCAGTGACACAGGAAGCTGGAAATAAAAGATCCGAGTGCTGCCAACAGAAGTCGAACCTATGACAATCTGGATATTAGTACATGTATTCTACCACTTAGCTACGGGAGATCACATGAAATTTCTGAAATTATGGGAGTTGTCAGGATATTCTGAAAGAACAATGTCCAAGAGGCCTACTTGCCAAAAATGAGCATTTCGGGGCAAATTGTCTCTGAGATCTTAGCCCAGTTATGCTTAGAAAACTCCCTCCTAAATTTTTTTGGGGTCGACCCAAAAAAATTTAGAAGGGTTTGTTTGTTTGGACATTGTTCTTTCAGAATATCCTGACAAATTCCATAATTTCAGAAATTTCATTTTAATGACGTCACACTTTAGTACTCTATACCGAATAGCTTTTCGTGTCGGCTCGAAAAGCTATTCGGACATAAACACACTTTGCTTACTAGTTTAAGTATCGGGTAAGTTGAGGTTATAAAAAACCTCCCCGAAACGTTAAAACGACGTATTAAAAAGGATAACTACAAGTTGAAACTTACCCAGGTTACATTTTCCATAAGTTTGCACAAGTGCCATGCAAGCTTCATAGAGTTCTGCTGCCTCATTCTAAAAGAAAAAACATCCACTGATAAACTAACATCAACTTTATTTCTTTACAAGTTAGTTCAAACACTCTGTTATGTCTATGTAGATGTCTGATGTCACGTAATAAAAACACATGGATTTCTAAGATTGCCCAATGTTTACGTGGGGATCACGTCTGGTGTATAAAACCCCATGCGCGCGTCGGATCAATGCAAGTTCCACTTTACCGTTACTTTTAGGAGTACGAAACCAAATCTAACAAGTAAAATAAAGTCATTTACAATCACGCATAGTTAGCTAGGACAGGGTTATTAGAGAAGGGTCTGCGGATTCCCAATAGGAGCATGCGCATTGCTCCTTGCTGTTTTGTTCCTGGTGGTTGTAACGTTTTTTGCTCGGTTTTGACTTTTACCCCTTCCTCCCACCTCATGATAAGTAGCTGGAAGCGTAAGTCTCTGTGCTTGAGTCATGGCTTCCCCAATGAGTAAAAGTGCCGTCAAAGAGAAGGTGTCCACTCATGGTGAAGTAGCCATGGTTACCTCAGCAACTGGGTCAGCTTACTTAAGAAGGAGGAAGGAGTCGTGGATGAGAGGACAACAGATGCGCCCTCTTTACAATGTATATCAACATGTTAACAGTAAGCTCGGACGTCAGCATACATGGGCGCCTCTAGCAGCCGCTTTTCATTTATTAGCTTACTGTACCCACCCAACCAATAATGTGAACGACGTCTGAAGGTTGGCCACACCAACCGGGTCTACGTCCCCTACTATTTTTGAACAGTGGTGTAGGTTCTTTTACGTCCCACAAGAACCAGGTAAGTGTAAGTGCTGTGAGACGGAATTTACCGTTTTTCGTCCTTATCCGAGAAGACTAGAAAGTCTAACTATTTGCAGATGTCATTACAAAGGCAGCACTTTTTTCTCAGTTATTTAAAGACACTGAGTGTTGGTCCGGCTAGGGTTCGAACCCGCTACTTCCCGCTCAGCAGACGGGCACTCTCCCAACTGAGCTAATCAGGCGGCGGTGATAACCAGGCAGCGGTAACTTACATTCGACTGTCTTGAACAATGCCAACCTAACCCTAACCCACCTGCCATACCCCCTTTAGGCAGAGGGATTAAAATCAAATTTTTCCTCGCAATCTCGATGCTCAATCAATCAGGGAGATTATGACAATCAAAGGGGTAATCACCAATGATAAATTCTCAGGATATTTGGACAAATTCTCTGCAATACTGCTTAACATTTTAGGACAAGAAAGGAGAATATGAACCTTATGTTGGGACGAAAGGGTTAAGCTAATTCCGTGAATCCTGATGCCACAACCTACCTTACTCAGAAAGGCAACCTGGGAGTCGGCCAGATCAACACAAAATTCCAAAACCACAACCACCATTTCTGGACAGTTTTGATAGACATTTAGTAAATGAACACAGTCTCTTAACACTGGATTAAGATAATGAAACAATGCATGAACATTGCGTAAATTTGTTGCTAAAGCAGCTCCTCGGAAGGCTTCAAGAAGGGACTGTAGCTGACTTTTAACTCCTTCTTTTTGAGATGACTTGGCAAAATTTGACTGGTGACAGATGCCTGAAAAGTAGGACTGTAGAGTATGCAAGATCTGTGGGAAAATCAAACACCAACCGGCGTTAAAATTAGCATCGGACAATTCATTACACAGTAATTTTTAGGGAGTTATTATAACTCCAAAAATGGAGTAAAAATTTTAGCTACAGGATAACCCCTTTTATGGGGTTACTTAAACTCCTAATTTAACTCCAAATTTGGGGTCATTTTTACTGCTGAAAAAGAGTTCTTTTAACTCAGAAAATGGGGTTTGTTTTACTCCTTACATGGGTCGTTTTTACTCTTTTTGGAATTGCTTTAACTCTGAGAGTGGAGTAAAAATTTTAGGTACAGGATAACTCCTTTTTGGGGGTTATTTTAACTCCTCAATATCTGGGGTATTTTTACTCCTGAACAAGATTTCTTTAAACTCCTTTTTGGAGTTAAAATAACTGCCCCAAAAAATAACTCCACTGTAAGGAGTTAAATTAACCCCGCTAGAGGAGTTATTATAACTCCTTGAAAATTACTGTGAAGCTACAAAATTTAGAGCCCGGTTTACTAGAATGCTCGTATATCTTCGTCCATGAAAAGCTTGCTGAGAAGAAGGAACCACTGGAAATGAGGTCCCATGTACTTCCTACAAAAAGGTGCCAAGCACAAATTTTTGCTAGCATTTAGCAACGACTAAGAATCATCTACTATTGTGCTTAAATATTCAAATTCTATGAAATCAGAGATGCACTACACTGTTCCAGAAATTTTCGAATTGAGTTAATTCAGATATACAACTACATGAGAAATTTCTGCAATTTGATTGGCTTAGAGCAGTGTTATTTCAGCTTAATTTGAAATACCTATGTGTGAAAAACAAATAATTAAACTATTAAACAAATAATAGCACGATTTGTACGTGATATTTGGCATAAATTCCACTTGTGATATTTCAAAATTACGTATAACAATTTCGAAATATCTTTCGTGGTATTTATGCCAAATATCACTACAAATCATGCTATTACCTATACTAATTCTGCAATGGCTTTGCCATCTGTAAGGTAAGGAATTGAGCAATGTACCCTTAGCTTGGTGATGACAGTCCTGTCTCATTTGACAGTTTATTAGCAAAGTTAACGCCACTCACCTGATCCAAGTATTTCTTTCTGACAGCTTGATCATCAGCAGCTGAGGCAGCCAGGACAAGCGCCTGTGTAAGATATCGCAGTACCTCAGGTGCCAGCTTGTGTAACACTGCTGTTGTTGACAGGTGCTCCTGAGCCAACAGCCACAGACTGTCAAATGAGATGGCCATCTCTGCTCTGAGAAAAAAAGGACATAACTTACTATTACATGTACAATATATAGATTTAGCCGAGGTCAAAAGCGAAGCTCTTGTGGAAACTTTTAAAAACTGTCCTTCTGAGGTCAAGTTTTGCGAGCCTGCAATCAATTGACTACCATAACTGGTTTGCAGAGAACTTTAAAAAACACGTCAACTCAGTGAGTTAGACACCTGAGCGCGCAATACAGTCAAGTGGCACTAGTCAGTGGGTACCCTATTTTGACAGCTGTCAATGTATCAAAAAAAAGGGTGTCCAATATCAAGTCAACCTAAAATTTCTTGGATGCATAGATAACCAAATTTTCCTACCAATGGTGCTAAAAAAAGCGCGCGAGAGATAACTCCGCTATTAAATTGCATATGATAAGAATGTAAAATAGCAAGTTGAGTTTAACGTACATCACTCTTCACTCACAGTTATGTGAAAGGAGAGGAGCAATATGCATCTACCTGCTTTTAGAATCAACCAAGCTTAACAGCAGCATGGCCGTGTCCTCCACAATCTGTGACTCTGCTGACCATCCAGACAGGTTTGATCTAACTTTGTCCAGTAAAAATCCTAAAGTCCATTTACCACCTTCTGTACCTGCACCAAAAACTGACAACAGACTTGCACTAAGCTGTTCGTATTCCTTTTCATCTGGTAACAAATAAGACTTAACCCAGTGCCGTAAACACCAGACAATAGTCCGTCCAACTTGAGGGCTCAAAAGTTCAGATAAACCAGCATTCACCGCAAGTTTTTCAATGTTTGCCGCGCGAAAAATTGTCGATACAAGTCTCACTACTGGGTCAACTCTTGAGTAATTCAAAGTTGCATATGAATCTCCTGCAGTGGGGAATGAACAAAGAGGAAATCAAAACATTGACTGGTAGAATCTGTATCAAAAATTCATAGAAAACCACCTCAAAGTATTCTAAACTTTTTAGCGTTGTTTTAGGAGTTATAAAGCAAAGGATGACAAAAAATGTTGTCAGAAAACCTTGTAAGGCCAAACTGAAACGCCAATCTTTACATGTGACGAACCCTATGCTAGTAAGCGAAAACAAGAGATTTTGCTAATTAGCATTAGTAAAATCCCACTAGAGGTCTATTATCAATGCTGCGTTCTGATTGGTTGAGCTAGTGAAAAGTGCCAGCTTTGAAAACCAAAACAATGGCGGCTGAATCGTGTTTTGCTAGCTAAAGTTGTTTTGTCTTAATATTTTTAACCAACTAGTTGGATTTTACTAAAACAATTATTCCTCTCGTCCTCATGGCCTCTGAGTCAATAGCCCATTCGGGCTCGAGGAATAATTGCTAATTATAATTATCACACATGAAGTTTGATGTTTGACCTTGGCATGCATAAAATTGCAGAAAAATCTTTCACTTAAAAAAAAGGACATGTGGCATAGTTCACTTGCAAGTAATTTAATTCGCTATGTAAGGCCTGCAAGAAACTTACTGTTTTTAAAATAGTGGCTTAATTCTACTGTAATAAGAAAAAGACAGTTGCATCCCAATTTGATAAAAAGGCGTTCTTTCCAGCCGTGCTAATAGATTTTCGCTACCAGGTCCTAGACAAACCTTGAGAAAACCGAGGAGGGGTTTATTTCAAGTTTTCAAAAAAAAAGTTTCCCCAAATCTATCATTTTGGTATGTTGGGTTCAAATTTACTCAGACATTACTAATATTCCTATGCTCTTTCAACATTCAGACATGTTATTTTGAATAGTTTGATCAGAGAATGTTAAGCAGATGTTAATGAGGCTGAAATGTAAAGAGAGATTTGCCTATCACAACACTTACCCATATTTTGATGTTGCGATGCACAAAGAGAATGAAAAGTGGCTTGGCTATCAATTTGTTCCTTTAGACTTGATGCATATGAAATAATCTCACTTGGAATGAGAGGCTTCTCGCCATTACTTTCATCAGCAAGAAGATAAGCAGAAATTAGAAGTAACCAGTGTAGGTCTTCATATAAGTTATCTGCACTTGCAAGATCAAAGGGTGCTAAAATTAATCAGATAAAAAGATTGAGTATCATGGTGCTGAATAAACAATAGTGAGTTTACGCAACAGGACGACAGAAAAAAGAGGCCTGCAAAACGCTTGTGTGGGAAAAAGGTGACAGGGCTATTACTTGCATGTTTTAACGTGACCTTCACTTACATTGATGTTTTCTGGTCTTGAACACCAGACAATAGTCCATCCAACTTGAGGGCTCAAAAGTTCGGATAAACCAGCATTCAGGGCAAGTTTTTCAATGTTTGCCACACGAAAAATTGTCAACGCAAGTCTGACTACTGGGGACTCCCATATAAAAGTGATGGGTCTTCTTGTCACGAAATTCAAGTTAAACCCCTAAGGATGTCCAATGTGGGTCCGGATCAAGCTTAAACTGATCCCTAAGAGGCATTTCTGTGTGGTCAGTGTCAGGGCATTTTTTGTACATTTCTTTATGCACAGTACTAAGCGATACCTGAATGGGCAAATATAGTAACTTTCCATCCCAAACACCCAAAATGAGACCAAAATCTGCAATTTACACCCCAAATGAGGTGACAAGCATCCCCGCCACTTTTATATAGGAGCGCACCAACCCGGGCTTATTATTTACACCCTTTTATCAACATGAAATGAACTTTCAACCTTCAGAGATCTTAATATCTGCACAAATTAGTACTGTACTGGCAGGAAGAAAGCCTAAACATTTTTTACCATACCTGTTGAATTCTTGACAGCAGTGAGATACTTCTCAAGTTGATTAACTCTTTCTTCTAATAGTTTTGCGAGAAGAGCAAATGCATGACTTGGCACCAGGCGTGCTAAGCTTCCAACAGTACACAACTGATCTGCAAATAGTTCTCTGTCATCACTATCAAGGTCACATATTTCATCCAAGTGAATTCCATTGTTTGTTTGCGATAAAAATGTTCCACGTAATCCATTGGGTGCGGCCAAATGACACTGAATATAACAGTTTATTATCCTTGTAGCACTGTCATTAAAAACACCAGGTGGTAACTGACTGACATGTTCCACTAAACTAGCCCAGCCCTCAAGCATTTGCTCCACTGCCTCTATAAAGCTGGTGTCTTCAGAGTTGAGCTGGAGGTGCAAAGTAAATCAAGGGACTTAAGTGTACAAACATAGGCTACACAGAATTACTAACAAAAGCCTACCAAGTAGGGGTAGGGAGCGGAGTATTGTGTGACTCCAGCCCAAGAGGCCGTGAAGGAGACTACAGACAAATATTTTGTTTGCTTCATTTGCAAATTTCTTTAATTTTTAATTTAAAAAATTAGGCATGTAACCAACTACCGAAGTGAAACCTAGATTATACAAAGTTGCACTTACATGCCTAATTGTTAAAATTATAAATTAAACAAATTTCTTTGCCACAAATATTGGTAGTAAGTTTATTTGGAAAATATTGGTTAAACTCAGTGTAAATTGACCACTATTTTAACAGCTACTGCTATCCAAAATCAATGCCACTTAAGCTCTTCATACATATATGTATTGCTTGATCAACAAAATCTATCAAAAGTGGTTTTCCATACATGTAAAGTTGTACCGTTAGTTTCAGATTGTAAAGTTTATGTAATGTTGTGGAGTTGTTGATAAAATCTTTTTGTTGCAAAAAAAAAATCTCAAGTGGTTTTGATTTCAAAGGCTGAGTAACAGTAAAAAATAATGATATAACCAGTTGAGTGCACACCTCTTCTTCTTTAGCAACTGCCTCTAAAAATAGGCAAGTCAGATCTGTCATGGAATTCACGAACAACTTCAATGAATCAGCTGGTAAAGCCTTGAATGATGAACAGGGAAAGACAAACAGGAGGCGGTTTACAATACTTCCTAGTCCTAGTGCAGCTTGACCATTCATCTCAATACTAGAGAACAAAATCAGAATCAATATAAAATTAGATTTATAAGGCAATTAAACAAACCAGCAAAAACATCTGTACTCTTTGAACCTTATTGCAAATTAACCCCCTCCAAAAAAATTCTTCAGGAGGGCTCAGACCTATGGCTAACTTTCCCTGCTAGCAGAGGTCTCTCACAAGGAGGCAAAAATGAGGGAAAGGAGAGAGTCTCTCTCCTTTCTCTCATTTTTGCCTCGTCGTGAGAGACCTCTGCTAGCAGGGATTGGCTAACTACAAGAACACTTACTTTTTTGAAATTTGCAAGAATCCTTGCACAAAGTGGGATAAATATTGAGTTTGTGACGATGCATCTGCGAATATTCCACCAGAAAGGGCAGCAAGCTGGATTAAACACTGTCCACAGTGATGGCTCAAGTCTTCATTAGCTTGCAAATTCACCTGAAGCTATAGAACACCACAATAAATTACAGTGGAACCTCAATATAACAAAGTCCCAAGAAACATGCAAAATTTGTTCGCTATAACGAGGTTTTGCTATACCAAGGTTCTTTTACATATATTTCACTATTACAGGGGTAAAGAAAATTGTTCATTAAACTGAGGATTTCATTATACAGAGGTTTGTTATTTCGAGGTTAGTGGATAAAGCAAGTTTATCTGAGACAACTTTTTATCAATTAATTTTGCGATACAAAATTAATTTTCATGATGCAAGACAAGTTAAAGATAAAATAGGCTCGATTTCTGCCACTCTATCGGTGTTCGGGGGAGGAGCGAGGGCTCATTTCCCACACAGCAGCTGGTAATCAAGCTTACAGATAAAAGGGACCTTAAGAAATGACAAAAGCTATATAAGAAGGTCAAAAAGGTTAACAATTTGTTTATAGTGGAAGTGCTCTTAGCTTATCCAGCTATTTTACAGGTACTCCGCTCAAATAATTATTAGAAACAAATAATCAAAATGGAACATAACAGGATTAAAAGCCCCAACTGGTAGAAGGTCACCAGTTGGCTATTACAAGCATGGCCAAGGATATGAACTCAGGAAAATGGAGAACAGTAAGACAGTAAGTGGCCAGAGCTGGACTCGAACCCAGAACCACTTTGATTTAATGTTGTTCTTTTTGGTACATTTCATTGCTCTCCTCTGCACAACTGGAAGTACAAAATGAAAAATCCTAAAGCAATATATTTGAGGGCTAGGAATTCAGGACAACAAGTTTTCACTTTTCTCTATGATGTACATGTGCGAAAGCAAAATTTTTTTTTTTAGGCAATTTTAAAATTTCGTGTTTAATTTGCAAGAACTCTAAATCCTTTCTTTTCAGTTATGTGATCAGCTTCTTACCTTAAAAAACATGCCTACTAATGCAGGATCAAAAAGCAACGCTCTCCAAGCTGATCCAGGTTTGAACTGAGTGACTGATGTCTCTGACCACAGGAATCTCTTTTGACCATGAAAATGTGTGTTTGTCAAGAAAAAAATCTACTTCTTACAGATGATGCCATATACTGTAGTCACTTCAGAAGGCAACAGGTGCATGAAGAACTGTGACGTTGTTATGATTTATATACAGGTAGAGATAAAATAACTTAGATTGCATTGGGAAACCTTAGAAATGTTGAAGCCAGCACTCCAGACCCAGGGTGCAAAGAAAGTCAGTTTTACAGCTTGCCATTTGGACAAGCTGTAGCTAGCATTCAATAGTCAAAGAGATATTTTAACTACACCAAAGAAAATTTTTTGATGAGCAGGATATTGATTACAGTTCTCCTATATTGAAATCTTTAAAAACTACACTTGCCTGTCGGGCAAGTTATAGAACAGAATTTGCTAGCCCGATAGCAAAATCCACCAGCTCTGGGGTATTGGGCACGACTTTCTTTGCATGCTGCAGACCACATTTCTTTAAATTTATTAAAGTTTTGATGAAAAACAAGCTTTTGTCATCAGCCTTAAAAGGCCCATTTTTTCTGTGCAAAATAAACTGGGGATAGAACTAACGTTTTTATTAAATAAAGTTTGGCACCTCAAACACTTAATTGACAGCAATGAGGCACCAACTTCTAAAGCCATAATACAGTTGGTGACTTAAACAGTTACAGATTGGAGTGATTTACGAAGAAAAAAGGTGTGTATGAAAGGATATGATTACGACCAAAACAGAAATGTCCTCCCTGGATAACAAATTCAATTCTGTATGCAAAAACTGCTGTAGACCATGTACCACCAGCACAAAAATCTGTTTCAGAGCCTGCACCTAAAATCAATGGGAAACAATCCTCATCTTACTCTGTAAGTATAAAACAATAATAATTATTTATTTTTCCAAGACTACCGCACAGTTAACAGAAAATCTATGTGATTACGGAGAAAAGAAATAAAAAAATTTATTACACCGTGCAATTTTATACACCTGTCTGAGTCAATCTCATTTTTTAGGTCTCCTTTACCTCAAATGCTTTCTTGCAGCGAAGATGAAAGTCCCAGCTCAAACCAATGTCACTGCTTTGGTTCAAGAATGAAAACTCACTCAGTAATGCCTTCAAGATAAGGCAACCTAAAATTTTCTGCAAAAGAATAACAATTATAACAAGTTGTTTCAATAGCAGTTACATAGAGAAAATATTACAGAAACAGGAGGCAGAGGGCAGGGAGCATCCCCCCCCCAGCCCCACCTCCTAATCTGTCCATATATAAAGTACTAACCTGGGGGTTCAGTTAGCCTGTGAGTAAGTTCTCCTACTTCTTAAAGAGAATAATGAGAGGTCATGAGGGTCAGGCACATGTGATCCTCCTTCCTCCAACCCAAACTTTCACTTTGTTTGCATTTACCCTACACACATTATTATATTTAATAATTAAACCCTTCTCCCACCCTTCTCTTAACCTAAGCTTTCACAGCATGCTGCCACGTGACCTTCATTTGTACAGCTCTAGCGACTTCCAACTACAGAGCTTGCTCGAATCGAGGGTGACTTGAAATAAAAAAAAATTGGCTAAGTGCACCGTGTCGGTGATCACAGCCATAACAAAAAAGATTATATTTTGTAATCACGCATGCATCAAGACTGAATACCATTGATGATGCATAGATGGTGCCTTCATTGTGCTTTTTTTTAGCCTTAACTGTGCTTTTATTTTAATTTTATAAGTTTCAATGCTTTCTTTTCAAATTTTCTGCTACAAAGCAGATGTTATTAAGGGACAATAGTGAGAGCACCCTGGGTGTTTGAATAATACAGGTTTCACGGAATGTATTTTACTGGAACTTCAAAGTTAGACATTACTACATTTTTCACGTCTCCACAATGACAAAAAATGGTTGTTATCAGGGTTCTCTAGAAAATGTGAAATAAAAGGAGAAAAATTAAGTACATGTAGGTGGCAACTGATTAGATTGAAAAGGACGTCTTTCACGGCACAACCTACCCGCTTTCATTGGGGGAATCCGGGGCCACTCCCTGGAAAAATGTTTCTTTTGTGGTTAATAAAAAGAGCATATCAGTGGATTTTGAGAAACCAGGGAAAGAAATTGTGGCCATGAGGATTGCGCCAATCAAACAAAAAGTGTTGGGAACCAAAATAAAATAGAATATAATGAACAAATTGATCTTGGTTGAAAACAGATAATTGACCTACATGTAAGAAACAAATAATTATTAACCTACAACATGTCCCTAGTATGAATTTCAAATATCTGCATTTTGCACTTTGAGGAAAAGGCGACATTTACTTCAGTATTCTACACATCTTCACGCCATTTGTCGCCATTTCAGCTAGTCTTGTTGCTGTTTCAAGGTCAATTTGCTTTTCAGAATTTTTCCCCAGCAGAGCTTCAGTATTCGCCGCCTAAGCGTCAACTAGAAGGCAATTTAAGCCGGTCGCCAGAGCTTTTAAAGCCCTTTTGTTATGCTTTAATAACTTATGGTACTCACCATCTCTCTGTTGTTGCTTGAGATAAGCTGGGTAACATCTCTAAGTAATGATTCTTGAGTTGCAAGGGAATTCTCTAAAATGCCTCTTTTGCAAATTATTGCCACAACATGCAGAACTTGCTCCTTCACATATTTTTGAATGCTAAGAAAGGAGACCAAAACAAATTTCACAAGTACACATACTATACATGTAGATGTAACATTAATTTTTCCATTATTTTATTGCATACATGTTACCCTGTGTACAGAAGTCCCTCCTCCCTCAGGAAAAATCGGGAGAGGAGACGTCTGTGAATCGCCGTCACTAATCGTGTTCCGATATACATTTGCATAAATTATTTTTTTGTCCTTTCGCTTACAGTCGAAAAGGCACATGTAGGTCGAAAAATACCTCTGGCGTCTGTGCACAGGCTAGCCAAATATCTGCACGCAATGTCCACCCAAAAATCCAGATATAAGATCTCTGATTACACTCAAGCCAGGTCAAGTGTACCTCCCAAGATCCCATTAATGTATTTATTATTCGAAAGTTGAACCGTTGGTAGTTGTAGATTTCAGATTCATCTCTGTGTGCGTTCTTGCATGCGTAATGAGCCATGAATTCACACGCGATTCAGTTACGAAATTTCTGCCACTTCAGTTTCCCTGAATTTGATGTAAATGTCTTCTAAGACATGTAATCCATTCAAAGATTTTCAATCTGACCAAATGCAGAGAAGTTCTCTTAAAATATTCACTGCTTATTGCGCATACAGGTATGCCGATTTAAATTTGACACCAGTTACAGGAAGGACTAACGGATTCATTTTTTCAAATAATCAATTCATTAATAGAATCGTTTTGGGGTAAGCTTGACCTGCTTTGGCTGTTAACGTTGAATTTGGATGTCTTCTCTTTTATTTACAATACCGACCGGTACAGACAGACGCACCCATAACCAGTGCAGCAAAAAACGGTGGTCTTAACTTCTCATGCTTTTTCGAGAGAGCCGAAATACAAATACCGGTAAACAAATATGAATGTCCACAAAGGCTGAGCTTTTCCCCGGGGAATCTATTCTGAGGTTCATTCACCAATCACAACACCAGAAATTACTTGCGTCATGGCATTAACATTACAACCAATCAGAGGCTGTCCCCAACATTACGGGGAAACGGGAACACGATTATCGTTGGCGATTCACAGACGTCTCCTCTCCCGATTTTTCCTGAGGGAGGGGGAACATCTACACAAGCTACATACATGTGCATCACACAGAATTTAATTGTTGTTGTGTATGACAAAGAAATCTCTAGTCTTTGTTGCATAATACGTCTGTTATACATTATATAGTCAAGCCAAGATTGTCAGAGTTTTTCCTCTGGTCCAAATTAGATATTTTTTCATGAAGATTAACAAGTCCTCATAAAGGGCTGAAAATATGTATTCATTCTATTCGAGGTTTGAGAGATGCCTTTTTAGTTTTGTTTATCTCACAAAGGGCAACACTAGTGGTAAAAATTAATGTTTAAACTGGTCTCCCAACTACCACTGTAAAAAAACCAGATGAACATATTTTAGCCCATGTTGCTGGAAAAGTTGATAAAAGTTTATGAGGAAGATTTCACGAAAGATCCACCAAACAACTTTTTCCAAGTCAGAGATGTCAGATATTTATCCTTAAAAAAACCCCCAGAAATTTAGAGAAATCACTCTTATAACAAAAATCAGTCATGGTATTCATTGTATGTTGACCTCCTTCAGTTTACATAAAGACACCCAAATTTAAGCCTACCATACCAAACTGGTTCTAGAACTAATGTTGGTACAAGATAGAAGTTAAGAGTGCACATGAGATTCATATCAGTATAGGACAGAAGAGTCAACTGGGAAACTTCTGTCTTAAAGCATTTTACGAAAGCTAACTAACAACAGAGTATTCTACTTACTCTTGCTTATGTGTAACAAATGTTAGCAGAAATGATCTGAGGGATTCAATGTCTGACTTGTCAAGTATGTTCCACTCACGGAGGATGGCTTCTTTAATTGTGGAAGCAGCTTGAAACAGCACATAGTCATTCCTACTTTGTTCTATATATAAAGAAAACAGTTAAAATTTTAATGTTTCTGTTGATCACTTTGTTGGGCATTGTGGCACATTTTGCGGGAGAAATTGGCTGGCTAAAATATAAATCAGTCCACTGAAATAAACGAATGAAATGAGAGGATTAATAGTCATACGATATAAACAGCCAATCAAAATCGAGAAGCCATTGCAATGTTCATGACAATGCTTTCTTGCATCATTTGTCATTTAAAGAAATCACGCTGCCATTTTCAAAGCTCAAATCATGGGTGAAAACATAATCAAAACATTATAACAACAAACATTTGTAAATTTTTAAATTTTCTTAGCTAGAGGAAGAAGATCTATAAAACTTAGAGACGCTTCTGATGTAAATAACACCTGTAGTAGCTCCATAGTCAGTGACAAAGTGCATGTAAGTTTTGGGGCTTCAAGCAAAACACACTCAGTTCAACTAATTATAACAAACTGTCAGTTTAACATTTGTACACGTGCACACTTTATTTTAACACTTACAAAGAGGCTTTCATGTCTATCATAATTCGTAAAAACTGTCGAAATGGCACAACATTTTAATATTTTCACTAGCCAGTTTTGGGCAAAAATAAAAGCCCTTCAACATGTAAATGCTCACATGATTTGATTCAGACTGTCTTGCTGTCATTTTTTGAAGTCTTTAGCCCTTGCCTAGCAGCTCGGGCTAAATTGAGTCTGAGTTGGGCCCAAAACATATTTACACTATTGTTTTATTTTCAAGGGAGGAGAACTGGCCCATCAGAGCTGTGCTCTAGCAGAGCCTGGTGGCCATTGGTGCTTTACTTTTGCTCTTGAGCCACTAGGAATTCTTAGTTTTTTCATAGAAATCCTATGCTAGGTACCCTGGATTTCACAGACTCAAAAATAAGGGCTCCCCTCAATTTTTCCTAGAGCAAAACCATTGCTTATTTCCAAAACCAGTGGCTGGTCATTGAATGTTCAGTGGTGTCTCCTATCAAAGCAAATATAAATACAATTTGACCTAGGCTGTCAAGTAATCAACAGACAAACAGACAGAAGATCCACAGTTTCAATTAAACAGAGGGGGAAGAAACCCTCCTCTCTTCTCTTTGTTTCTTCTGCTTCGTCATACTGAGGTAAAATTCAAAATATGAGGTAAAATTCAAAATATCAATCGAAGGGCCAATCTACATCTTACATTTATAGGGTTTTGCAGCAATTGGACTTTTTAACCTATGTATTATGGAAACAAAAAAAAGGGATTCGGGAAAACGATGGATGTGGAATTTTCACGAAAGAGACCCAGACCCTAATGAAAGATCATGATATCGAAAATATCATTAAAATCGATAAAATTGATAGTGCTGACAACAAAAAAAGTTGTTGCTATCAATTCTTATTGATTGACTGATACAGTCGATATCAATCAAAAGTGATTATCGACAATTATTGATTTATCGATTGGATTTCTAACATCAGTTTTTATTGATTGCACCAGTCGTGATAATTAGCGATTGGCATTCCTTTACAGTCAAACCAGGTCAAGCGTACCCCTCAAGAATCCATTAATGAATTTATCATTCAAAAGCTGAATCCATTGCTAGTTGTAGATTTCAGATTGATCTATACATTTTTTGCATGCATAATGAGCCGTGAATTCACACGCGAGGCAGCTATGAAATTTCTACCAGCTCAGTTTTCCTGAATTTGATGTAAATGTCTTCTAAGAAACTTAATCCGTTCAAAGATTTTCAATCTGACCAAATATAGAGAAGTTCTCGTAAAATAGTCACTGCTCATTATACATGCAGAAATGCCGCTTTGAATTTGACACCAATTACGGGAATGACTAACGGTTTCATTTTTCAAATAATCAATTCATTAATAGAATCATGGGGGGTACGCTTGACCTGCCTTGACTGTAGAGGACTGACTGAAACATAACACTACACCGTGACTCAATTGATGGTTTAAGTATTCACTGATAGATCCATATTACCTAAAATCTGTCTGCAAGCTGCATAAGGTGACTTCGATCTTCTAAAATTCAGGAACACTTGTTCGGCGGATTGGCGCTGTTCTTGCGTCACCAAAGATGGCGGCGCCTAAAGAAAAACACATGTGAACGTCTTCAAATGGGCATTGCATCATAGAAATGAAAATTTTTAGATCTTACCATCACTACTGCGGCCGAGTGTTCCAATTCCTGGATAGAAGTCATCGTTGACGGAGCGCTAAGCGGGTTTTTGCGAGTCAACTACATTTTACGTTATCGCTTTTGTGCACTCAACAAAATATGGCAGGCGTATTTTTCCGGCGGAGGAGTCGGTGGAGGAATGGCACTTGCATTCCATAACAATAGATTTCAGGCCTCTCCGAGCCTTTAACTCACGCGCGTACTCGCGCGTACAGATCTTTGGAGAGATTTTTATTCACTTTTACAACCGGATGGGTAAATCTTCTCAATATTCTATTATTATATATTGGATGTATTTCCATTGTAGCAGCAACTACATTATTACATATCAGAGCCTCAAGGTACGGAAAAACGGGCAACTTGCTTTGC